ATTAGATCACCATTGTGCTGCATCCGGAACGGCGTATTAAGGATTCTAGATTCCAGATTACGGATTCCGGCTTCCGGAGTCGCTGGCACTTCTATTTCCCTCGCCATCTCCACCTCCACCCACATCAATTTGTCGTGTCAAGAGCAAAACTAATTTATTTACGAGCTCGCTTTAAACCCTGATTATTCATACGCACTTGCGGGTCCCCCTTAAACGTCCTTGCATCCTGCATTGAGCATCCTGCGCCTCTGTTGACTTTCATTAGCTCAAATTACGCAAAAGTACTCGAGCGTCACACGCATAAATCAGACGGCAAATCAAATTCACTTGCAGATGCAGTCCGCAGCCTTCATTCTGCTCGGTTTGCAATGGACTGGCAGCCCATAAACGGCAACCCCGATACGGACCATTGGCTCTTCCTATTACCTATCTGTACACTGAGAGAATTTGGTGGGGGCGTATACCAAATGTCATATAAATGAATATATTAAAAAAGTTAATTTAAATAAGAACGCAAGTTCTGTAGGAAAATATTTATAAATATATTTGTTTGACCTTAATTGATGTAGTATTAGAAATTATATTCCTGTACACAGGGATAGGGATGAAAATTATATTTTATATAAATTAATTTAATAAGAAAAATATAGACCGCGAATTCTGTAGTGTAAAAGAAAACATGATAGCAATCACTTCTCATCATTAAAGCAAAATGGTTATATCAATAAAATAAGTAAATTTATTAAATTTAAACTGGATAAGCCCGCGAATTCTTTAGAACTTTTTCTTAAACTTTTTTAAAAGACACAAACCTAGTAATACTCGATTATTTTCCAAGTGTACTCCTCTATCTGTCACTGGCTGTGCAGTGACCACGCCCTGGTCATGTCGATGCCACCGCCTGTGTTTGGTTTACGTGCTTAAATTGGCAATTAGCAGATTAATTGTCACTGCCAATATATGCGTCAATATTTTGTGCAACCGACAGATGCAGTTCAGTTGCTCTGAACGGACCCTTGCACGTAGTAGTATAGTATGTAGTAGTATGTAGTTTGCTTTACAGCCCTGTTGTTTACACAATTGTTGCCCTGTGTTGCTGTTTGATTTCACTAACGAGCATTAACATAAATTGCTCCAGTTGAAGGGGCGTTTGCTATGACGATGGCCATATGCCATTCGATGCGTTATGTGTGCATCATTTAGCCATGGTCACTACGAACCGAAATTAACGAGGACTGTCAAAATTTTTGGCACAGGGAAAGCCACCCGTTGCTGAACATTTTGCAGTCAATCAATTGTAAATTTTTAATGAGTTTTCATTCTGCAGTGGACCCTAAAGTTCGACATCGACTGGCATAGCTGGATGTGGCCAACAGGGATGTGGTTTTTGTCCCCGCATTCTCCCTTTTCTCTGACTAAGCAATTTGTCACACTAATTAGCTGCTGCTCCTGCTGCTGCTGCTGCGGTTGCCCGCTAGATGGCGTCGGGCCATGGTCACAAATATTGCGCATACGTCATCGCTCCCTTGCAGCGAGTAAGCGATGCAAATTTGTTTGTAAATGAGCTGTGGCAAGGCAATCGGTCTTCCATTAATGCTTTTTGCTCGACATTATGTTGGAGATTTCTCAGATATTTATTAAAATGTCACAAATAATTTAGAACATTTAAATGCATTTAAAACAATTGCTAAGGTACACCCTAAAAGACAGTGAAATAGTTCCTAAACTCAAAATGGATTAAACATTTTATTTGTTTATTTGTTCCATATTTATAGATCATTTGCTTCCCTTTTAGGTAATTTTATAACAAATATGACCTAAATAAATAAATTTATTACATTTTAAACATTGTCTTTTCAATGGCTTGAGCACACTATAAGTTCGCTTCAATAACTAATAAAAAAATACATTTTTAGGGACTCATTCAAATTTATTTTGTATTTTATTTGTTATTTAGTTGATGGTATCCTTCGTGGCGAACATCCCTAACCGTCTGCTTGTGCTGTCTTGTCTCGGCTCTGGCCGCAATAATTTCCCACAAAATACTTCCGCAACACATCGTCGATGGCAGGTCCTTTGCCACTTTCGCCCCTTGCAGCCCAAGGATGTGCTGCCATGCTCCAGCTGCATTTCACTTGACTTCACGTCCTCATCCAGCTGCAACTTATCATTTTATAAGCATTTGTTTTTCCTCTTGTTTCTGTTTTTGTTTGCCTGCTCCTCCGGAGAAGCCGTGTTGTTTTTCTGTGTGCAGCATATCAAAATATTTTGTTGCATTTTGTTTTCTCTGGCCCCCAGTGAGCACTTTATGTGACAGAGACTTTAAAATGTGGCAAAGTGGTCTTTTTCGGCCAGTCATGTCCTCGAAGTTCTGGTCACAACACGCTCCTCTTCCTTGGGAGTGTCATTTCAGGGCGGAATTAATGCAAAATTATGTGCCACGTAAACTAATTTTTATAAGGGGCACACTGGCCTACGATTTACGAGCCCTCGCACTTGGCCACAATCCTTTCATAACATTCGGCGACCATTTTATTGCCCCGTTTGCTGCCACTTAGAATTGGGGCGAGAAAAAACCGAAAAATACCGCGTGGCGCATTAAAATGTTGCCCAAGCCTCCAACTCCATGACCCCCAATTCTCTTTACACTTAGAAATATAAATTTGATGAATAGCAAAACGCTGTTTTAAGATATGTATTTAAAACTACCAAAATTTACAAATTCTAAGCATTTTCAGTGGCTAACATATTCTTAAATATCTGTTTTGGCTTTGATTTCTTAAGTTCTTTAAATATTCAGTCTTATTGCATAATTTTTTGTATGATAATTTGATCATTTTTATGACCAAACTTTCTTGAATCTTTTTTTGTTATTTATTATTTATTAAATAAGGTAGACTAGTTTACAAAACTAAGGCTTACAGTGACGAAAGTACCAGATTTTTCCTGAATCTTAATTCATTATATTACTTTCAATTCTTTAAATCTTTTGATTTGTTTTTCAGAATATATTATATCTCTTTTAATTTTTAAGTTCTTTGAATTTATTTCAAAATATGATTTTTTCAAAAGTATGCTTTACTTTGATTTAAAAAAAATAAGTTAACCAATAAGAAAATATTTTTTTTTTTTAGCTTGAAGCAATGAAGTTCTTATTCTTAATCCATTTGTTGGCATGAGTACTGGCTTGCTATAATATATTGAGCTATATAATTTTTTCAAGTGCAGCTGTTGTTGTTCGAGTTGAAATTTATATTAGGCCAACAAAGTCGCCCTCGGAGAAAACTAAGGATGGGGAAATAGGGCTGCCTTTGGCAATGGCGCCTGCTCTCAAGTGCTCATAAATTCACGAAAATTTCACAGCCGCCGACGGACCAACAAAATAAAAAGCGTCGACAAGGGCAAACGGTTCGGGGGAGTGGCGTCAGCTGTTGCAGTCTTTGGCCACAAAACCCCAACACCACCACCACCTCCTCCCTTCGAAAAATCCATTTTCAGAGGCAATGGCACACACTCGACTTTGGTTTGGCAACATAAATTGTTAAAGAATTGCCACTTTACAGTCGTAAGGAGCACATAAGCCGGACAAATAAAAACCCTTTTTTCCCACGGCCAGCAGATCCTTGAGGTTGGTCCTTGGGCATCCTGCCCGTCGGGGATGCAGTGGCGCAGCAATCAGTCGCAGACCTCGGATTGGATGTCATAAAAATGCCATCTACGAAAGGCAGCACTTAAAGCTGCGTTTGTTAGCGGTTCTTTGTCATCATTATGGCATCCAATTTGTACTCAATAAAAGCGCCAATTCAACCATGATGAGAGCGATGGCCGAAGTCCTGGCAATTGTTTTCCATCAAAAAGTAACATGTCCATGAGAATGAGCTACGGACTACGGAGTGGACTGCCTGCCAATCCATTGAAGGATGCTGCAATTTTCGGCCATCCCAATGGTCATGAGTTATCTGTGTGTGTCCGTGTTTGAAGTCCGAGGTCCGAGGTTCGTGAAGTGCCTTGCATGTGAAGTGCCGTGATTTATAAGCGCTTTGCTGGCGATAACAAAAGTGGGCTGTGCCCAACAAACAATGGGTGAAGATGGGATGCAGCAGGAACACATGCAAATTCCACATACACATAGTACCACAGATAGACGACAGGACCTTCTTTCAATTTTCTTTGTACGGTTTTGTGGTCGCTTGGCTTTCCGGCAAATTTTTATCTCAAGTTTCGGGTACCCCGTTGACAATAAAAATGGCAATAGGATGGCAGAGCGAGGCAGGCGAGGCCGTCGCAACCGCACAAAGTCCTTTTGCTCCTGGCCCATATCATTAATTTTGCACAAAAGGACGAAATGTCCTTTTGCCAAGTGCAGAATTGGCCAGTCGGCGGTGTCCTCCGAGCGGACCAGCAAATAAATAAGGCAAGCAGACTTTGTTGTGCATTGGCAGCTCTGCGGTTGGGATTGCTTTGGTTTTACACGGCAAAAAAAAGGTCTTTAATTGGTTAGTTACAAATATTACATTTTGCAAAAGCTATTATATAGCATTTGTATCTATTAAATTCATATGTTTTACATTGTAAAAACACAGTTTAAAAAAAATTATTAAAAAATTTTTTTTTCTTCAACAACTTAATTTAAGTCTATATTTTTTGCTACCGCATTTTTTCTGTGTATTTAGGTTCCAGAACGAAACTGTGGTTGAGCTCAAGCTAAAAGAAGAGGCTGCAACACGTTCGACATTTTGTGGTGTTCATGCTGCGTTGGGTTTTGCCAAATTGAAATTGTTTTGGCAAAACAACGGCCCTTGAAAAGCAACTAAAAGCAAAAGACCACTGATTGGAAGGAAGATATAATAAATAAATAAAAACAATACAAAGAAAAAACTCTATACATTTTACCCAAACCACATTTCTTCTTCATAAGCATATGCAAATTTCAATTGAATTAAAATAGCGATTTCAGCTCTGTCTGAATGCCTTTTGAATTAAAATCACATAGGCTTACGAAAACATTTTAGGGACACAACACAATAGAAAATGTCCAAGCAGCAGCAAAATGCCACGGGTTCGACCGCGGAATCAGCCGCGGGTGTTGGAAAAAGGCAAAAGGATCGTTTCTTTAGCAGTAGCAAAACAAGACGTCAATTTCAGTGCTGCATTGCCAAGGAATGTAAGATTACTGGGTATATTACTTATCCTTTGACCTCCTTGACCTTCTTGTAGACTACAGTGAGTATTCGAACTTGGTTGATTCCCTGCATATCACGCCTCGGATGATGGTCCACCAAAAGTGCTTTAAGGTCAACAACACTTACGGTCTGACTCTCAGCATTAAAAACACCGGATTGGTAAGTCGGCAACTGCAGCAGCGTCCGCAAAAGTGGAACCAATTTTAAATTATTTTAAAAAACAACACAAATTTTCTAAACTTAACTTAATTTTTAAAATAATCATCATCCACTTAAAATATGGATATATGGCTTTTCATAAAAAATTGACGTTTAATTTTTTTTATTTAAAAAGATAATGTAACTGTGTATTTTTTAAAGCACAAACATGTTGTTTTAATACTATGTAGAAAACTTTTTGAAATATTATAATTTTGAATGAGGAACGAGAGTTCAATCATGGCGTCATTTTACTCGCAGTTCCCACGTCGTATCAACATAACCTCTGACAGTCCCGAAGACACGTCTATTTCGATACCGGAACTGGACCTTCACCGCTACTTGGACACCGATGAGACTTTGGAGGTAAAGATCTGGATACGGTCCGCTGTAAAGCGCGACATAAATCGCCGGCGCCACATTCTTGTTGAGTGTTTCCACCCGAATATTATATTCCAAGTGCCCATCATTGGTAATCACGTTGGCTTTTAGAGTGATTTCCAGTTCTTATGGAACTTCTCCGCAGTTCTGGACAAACTACACTATCCGTCGATCAGCGACACCATAACTTTTCCCAGCTGCGTTCCCGGCAACAAAACCCACTACGAAATGATAATCTACAACCCCACCAAAGAGCGCGTTCGAGTGCGGTACAGAAAGTGAGTTATGTATGTCTATGCCTTAATTTAAATCGAAAAAAACCAAGTATGTTTAAAAGGTATAAACTAGTTTTATAACTAAACTACATAATATGTCAAAAATGCAACCGCACTTTTCTAAGTGCCAATACACCTTTCTATCTAATAGTTGGAATTTCACTTAAAGAAAAGAAAAAAGCAATTGTTTGTTTTTTATAAATATGGTATTATTAAAAAAAAAAAAAGTTCCATAGACTGGTAATACTGACTGCTAAACAGCCCAAAATCAGATATACATACCTCAAAATTACTTCCATTTTAAAAATAATAAGTCACATAGTAAAAGTTTCAAAATGACCAACAATTTCTTAAAAATATATATATTTTTTTAATTTATCTTTTTTTTAGCACAAATCGCGGCCTGGAGATCCATGACAACAACAAGGACATCCTGCCGCCACAGGATTACGCCAGGCTGCTGTTAGTCATCCAACCAAAAAAACTAAACGTGTACAAGGGTTTTTTCAACATCAAGTTTGGAGTGTGTAGGTATCATCTTCTTCCGGTAGATAAACCTATATCTCCTCAATGTTATCCATTCCCAGTGCCTCCAAAGCCGGTGATGTTCGTCTTCACGCCCAAATCAATGAGTGTGCATCTGAATATCGGCAGTGTGGTCTTCGGTTCGACCAAATTCTCTGGCGACGAAACTCGCATGGTGATCATGTGTAACGAGAGTCCGCATGAGGTATTCGTCACCGGTCGGTTTTACACGGAACCGGCTGCTAAGGAGCCGAGTACCGATGAGGATGAGGATGAGGATGATCAGATCTCCAACAAACTGATCGACGATGCCATCAGCATGCACAGTGCACTGATCTTTGACTTCGAGGAACGTGCGAGTGTGCAGGATTTGTTGATGGATGCGAAAGCGGTCAAGCACTTTGACTTCTCCATGCCAAATAAAATCGGAACCGGAAATTCGGCAGAAATAATGCTGATTTTCCGGCCGACCTATGATGCGGAAAATCCATTTCCGGATGATCAGGAGCCACCGTATTTTCAGCGCACTCGGGCCACATTTTGCTTCACCGACGCCGAGGAGTGCATCGAGTCGCATTTTGTGATCATGGCTGGATTAATCGAGGGCATCGAAATGGAGTTTCACCCGAAAGTGATTGATTTCCGGAAAATCTACCTGGGCGAAGAGCACTGCGCCCAGATCAAAGTTCTCAATTCCGATGGTAAGAATAAATTACAACAATATAAATTACAAATATAAGCCAGTCATATACCCTTTTGGCAGTTGTGCCCGCCAAAGTGGAGTACAAGGACTGTACGGATCCTGATGCGGCCGGCATACGCATCACGCCCGTTGAAGGATTCCTGCTGGAGCCTTGCACACGTGGTATATTCAATGTGTCCTTCTACTCATTGTATCCCGCTCGCTTCACAATAACACTGCGTTTTAAAGTGCAAAATGGGGCGCACTACAAAGTTGCGATAAAGTATGTATCTGAGTGATAAGCATTGTAATCTCTCTGCTCTAAAATCGTTGATTTTTTTTTGTCCAGGGGCACTGGACAACCGGTGCAGCTGCGCACCTTTCCCCAATTGGTGGAGTTTGGGAGCATTCCAATGGCCGTGCCCCAGAAACGATATATGCTACTAATGAATCCACTGGCCGTGCCAATAACGCTGCAGGTGAAACCCACCGATGATGGGGAGGAAACGCCATTGGTTCTCAATATACGCAACTCCACGGAGATGCTGCCCATAACAGTGCGAGATCCCATACGACATCTGCAGCAGGTGCACGAGGAACTGCAAAGCCACGAAACGGAGGAGCCCAAGGAAATCCGTCTCACAAATGCCATATCGGAAGTGCTTTCCATGAAGTCCGTCCAAGCGACTGAATCAAACTATAGCTTGGAATTTGAGGAGGAAGTGATGGGTGAGCATGCTCAGAAAAAGATACTTAAGTTTAAAAAGGTATTGTTTTAAGAATGTTTGTTCAGTTTGAACTTCACTCAAAAAGAAATATTTAATGAAACCTATCTTAAAAAGTTAAACTCTTAAAATAATAGTTAAGCTCGAAAAAACAAGTACAAATAGTTTCTAGAGATACTAAAAAAATTCGTAAACGAAATACGTTTTGTACTTAAAACTAGAAGAAATATACCATAAACCCAAAAATGACTATAACTTTTTTTTATCCACTTTGCATGAAATGATAAGGTTTTATTAAGGTTGGTTTAAGTTTAAATTATATTTGATTTGAAAAGCTGTTCATAAATCAAGCAAAACTATACTATATATATAAGAATGCAAAGTGTTTGAAACAAGAAAATATTATGAAGATGAGCACATTTCGAACCTGACTTATTTTCAAGCCTGCTTTGTACTAAAACGAAGGTTTCTTGGTTTTTTCCCTAAGTGCACTTACTTTATTTCTATAAATATTAATTTATTTTCCACCTCCCACTTAGAGCCCATTCCACAGATGGCTGCCCATCTGCTGACCAACCTAAAGAAACAAAAGATCTTTGACAAGTCGGAGACGGACCGCCGTGTCATTCAAGAGGCACTTATGGGTCTGCTCAACACAAAGTACTTTTCTGTTTTCACGAAGCACAACAACTATATATTCATGGACTGGAACGCACTGCCCAGTGATCCACGTGAAGTTTTTTGCGACAATGAGATAATCTATCTGCGTCCAAACACTGGACGGAGCATTACCATTCTTTTGGTGCCCAACAAAGCTGGCTACTTCCATCGATCGCTGTCCGTGAGGATTTGTCCCTCCGTTGCAACACCATCTGTGGATTCCAGCGATGATCATCCCATTATGAAGACCCTCATCAAGTCGGAATTTCTCTGCTCGAAGCTCTGGTTTGAGTACAATTGCGTGGTCCCCGAAATCGTGTGGTCCAATATGGTGGACCTTTCGCACCGAACAATCTACGCTGGCGAGGACTATGACTTCGAGATGAAGTTCTCCAACCCATCTATCATAGGCGTCTTTCTTCACTATGATGTCGTTGTGAGTGGTTTAAAATTTTAGCTTTGACTGCTTTTGCTGTGAGCATTTTAGAAGCCGAAAGCAAAGTAACAGCAATATCAACAAGAGCAGAAGCAATGCTATTAATTTAGCTGTAAGAACTACAGACTGTTACTTTTGCTGCGAAAGCAATTTTAGATGATACCTACTTTAACGGTCAACTAGTTTGAACAATCTTGTCCCAAGATATTTTTTTAACGAATTTAAAATTTGCTTCCAATTTGCTCACAGCAAAAAGAGGCAATGTCTGGCTTTGCTTTTACAAATTCGAAATCTTAAACTTATAAGCAAAAGCAAAGTCAAATAATGGCTTTCACAGCAAAGCAAAGATTTTATAGATTATGCTTTGCTTTTACATTTGCATTTCAAGCAAAAGCAAGTTCACAGCTCACAGCAAAGCAAAAGCTTTTGCTACTTTTTCATACATAATTGTTCTAAACTTGCTCTGTAATCATAATTCATCTCTTTAATTTCTTAAATCCAGCCCATTGACATGACCTTTCGGGACGGCACGTGGAAATTCTTCATTGACGGTGGATCGGAGATCACCGCCAAGTGCGCTGTGACCTTTCGATCGCTGGGCAACACCCGGCTATCTGGTCTTGTCAAGATGGTGGGCGCCAACTCGCCGTACGCCTTTCATCTTTTCGCCAATGTACTACCCACAGAGATCAGAGTTATGCCGATGTTTGTGCACCAGCGATTGCAGGTCTACGAGAAGAGCCTGGTGCACTTCTATATCGACAACTATACGCCCACGCACACGAAGCTGAGCATGCAACTGGTAAGGGTAACTCAAGTCGAAAGCTGTCAAAAAAAAAACAGTTTAGCTTTTAAATGTTTATACTATTGCTTTTAGGTATTATTTTTAGGAAAACCTTATTATGTGGGGTGCTACAAAAGTCACTAGGAATCTGGGTGTCTAAAAGTATGCAATAAATATTTGTTATGAGTCTATACAAATTCTCTAATAAAGTATATTTTATATTGCATACTTTTAGACACATTTAAAGGTGATTTCAAAAACCTAGTGATTTAAACATATAATTTGTATACAAAATTAAATTTATAACGATATATTTTTCTTTTACATATTATTTTCGTAAATAGCTTACCAGCTGCAGAAATCACTAGCGGCTTAAAATAATTTATATATAACATTTAAATTTATTGTATTATATTTTGTATTTGTTATAGATTATATATATTCTTCAAGTGTTTCCCAAACTAATTTCGATTAAAACTCCTCTTCAGAAAGATATAGAGTTCCAGTATTTGACACTTAGAGGTGGATCTTTAGCTCCCACAGGCCAAAGCATGTACACCACCTTGGTGTCGTTGTTCACCGATCCGGATTTGTACCAGAACACCATGTTTATTGACCTGCAGTTCGACAATGTGATGACGATTCCCATCACTTTTCTGGTGGAGGGGGTGCCACTCTACTTCGAGCCGGATATACGCCAGGGTTTCGATGCCGGACTGCTCTACACCGATACCAAGGAGCAGTTCCAGGAAAGCCTCTACCAGCACCGTTTTCCCATTCGGGTGATCAACAAAGGTCGTCGTTCCTACCGCATTTTGATTATCCGCCTTAATACCTATGGACCGGGGGCCAATGTGTCTTCGGCCTGTGCCAACAACGCTTTAACTTCCCGTTTTGACATGGAACCAAAGAATCTTTACATGTCGCCCAGTGACGAAAATCAGCTGGACATCTTGGCCAGCTCTTATGTGGAAGGCCACGCCACCGGCGACTTTCTGGTGCAGGTCATCGACCAAAAGTATCCGCAGCGTAAACACATCATTAGGATTAGGACCTCGGCAGATTTCGTGGATGTCCAGCTGCATTGGAGCCCCAAGCAGGTAAAAATATGAGCGTTTATTTAATTGAATTTACCATTTAACTCCCCTGTGTAATAATCATAATCGATATGATTGATTTTGATTTTTCGATTTTTTTTCAAAGTAAAGTACATTTGCGCTTGAACATATTTATTAACACAATAATAATATTTTTTTTTGGCATCCTAGTTTTGTAATTTAAATCTATATAGTGATGTGTCTTTATTGATTTCCTATCAATGTATTTTAAATACATTATACTCAATATTTACTTTATAATATATAAAACTTTTAAATTTCCGAAGGTGATCTTCAACTACAAACGCTGTGAACCTCTAAAAGAGCGTTCGTACGTAGAGACGCCTTTCCTGGTGAATTCCTGTTCGGTGCCCATCGAAAAGGTGATCCTCCAGGTTACTGGCCCTTTCAAAATCAAGGAATATTACGAAGATACTTACGAGAAGGAGATACAGATCAGTTTGGGTGGCTTAGAGCGAAAAGAAATCTTCGTGATGCTCAAGGGAGGAGCTTCGAAACAGCTCTTCTGTCGCCAAATCGAGGGAAGAATCAATGTGATGGCGCTGGGAAAGCAGTTGAAGTCTCTACCACTGCGGGCATCAATAATGGTTCCAGATGTTGTGATCTTGCAGCCAGAACTTGTGCTTTTCGATCGGGGCAAACCTTATGACAGTATGATCCATCTAGTTAATCAAGGCTGCATGCCGGCTGAGTTCAAGTGGAAAAGGCTGCAGACCACGGAGATTTTCATTGGCGACGAGGATGATCCGGAGGGCATTGCAGCGGATCTCCTCTCGGAAATTCTTCGCATGCTGGACTACGACTTCAGTTGCGAGGATCAGCCAAATATGACACTGAGATATCAAGAGTGCCGCTGTCAATTTCGTCGTTTTGAGGAGAATGGCGATTTGATACTGGAAATCTTGGACGAGGTCATCAACGAACTGGACTTAGCACATAAACCACTACTCTATCCTCCGAAACTTCCCCCTGCCGACCAAGAAGAGGAGGACAGAGATCAAAGTTCGTCGAGTGTTGTGCGAGAAACCATTTCGGATATACTAAATCGCCTTCACCTTGAGTCCAGCGAAAAATGGTCTGAGGCATCCACCGAATACTGCTTTGCCAGTCGGTATATCTACTTTTATGAAAAACGGGGCACTGTGGACACGGATCTGGAGTGTAAACTATATCTGCCGCACATTCGGCGAAGCCACGAAATGCGGGCCGTATTCGAGTTGGCCTTAATAGGCGGACGAAGTCAGCGCTTCACCGTCACTTTGATCAATCTGCCGCAGAAGATCAAGTTCCACAAGGACAGCATTTACGTGGGAATCAAGGTGGGTATATATTTTAGATAACTTAACGAGTCGATAAAAAATAAATTCAGTAATATAAAAACAATAGATGCCTAGATGAATGATATACGCGAATTCTTTAGAACACAGGTTAATAATTAACAAACTAATTTCTGTAGAAAATAAAAAAAGGAAATATTTAAATTAAGATGACTTAACAAATTAATTTACTTTCCATTTGGCATTGTTATAAAAACGAAATGTTTTTGATTTTCGAAAACAAATAGAAAAACGCGAATTCTTTAGGAAATAGCTTAAAAATAAAGTAATTCTTGTAGACAATAAATTTATAAAACTATATAACTTATATTTTTTTGATATAAATACCTGTTTTGTTAATTTATTGACAAAACCAAAATCAACGCTATTTATTCTTTAATAAATATATATATTTAATTATTATTATGTTTACCGATACTATTATTTTCAGCCCTGGTACGAGTCCTTCGATACCGTGGTGCGTGTGAGCAATCTAACCAAATATCCTCTCCAGTTGGTTGTGGTCGAGGTGAAGAAGCCACCTCCCAAGTCGCCCAAGGAGCAACCATTGGAAAAACGTCTGGTTGATGGATACTGCAAGATGATGACAAGCGATATGATGCATTTGGAACCTTTAGGATCGGATCAGATCCGTGTGAAAGGCATCCTGGGTTTCAGCGAAAGCTTTAGGCATACTTTTGGAGCCATGATCAACAACAGTGACACCAAGTACTTTTGTTTACGAGGACAGGGCGTAATGCCCATGCTGGATATGGCATCCCCACTGTCCAGCACTCCCTTAAGTCCTCTAGAGATCGAGGAGGAATACCGTTTGCTGCAAAAGATCTACCACTATGAGATCTTTCGCAGCATCACAGAATTGGATGAAGAGCCAAAGGGTGACAGAGGTGAAGAGGAGCTGCAAGTGGAAGAAATAGTCTCGGTCACCGAGGATTTTACTTTGCTATCGTCCAGCGAGGAGGAGATGAGCTCGGAGCGTCAAAACCAACACGATTTGCAGCTCTTCCGAATGGTTCACACTTACGTGATGGTGAATAACAACCAGGAGTTGCCCCATGCCACAGTTCTAAGGCAACTGATCTTGGCCGAGAGATATTTAAGGCGCCTTCGACTGAAACCGGAGTTGTATTCGGTGCATCAGCAGGTCTACCAATCTTACCAGAAGATTCACAAGGCGCCGGGCTTCAAACACCCAGCGATGGTCAAACACTTCACAGTCCAACCCGTTCCCTGCGAGCAACACGGTTTTGTCCTCGACTTGGGTCTGTTGACCATGAACACCTTGCGGCGATTCGAACTTAAACTACACTTCTTTGGCCCCGGCAAACTTATTGCCGCAGCACGTACGGCTGTCAGGATTCCAGGTTTATATGTGGACTTTAATGTCACCGACGCTCAACAGTAAGTAATGATGGTAAAATTAACATAGTCATTCAAAATTTCAAATAAAACTTACATCTCAAATCATATTTATGCTAGAGAATTGAAAGAGTAGGTACAAAAATAACTGCCGATTAACTGTCAAATTGGCATCGTTATAGAAACGCAGCGTTTTGATTTGCTCGAAGAAAAAAAACGCGAGTTTTTTAGAACCTATGTAATTAATTTATAAAAATTAGTAAATTATTTAAACAAAAAGATTAATATTATGACTAGTTTACTCAGGCAGTTCTAAATCTGCTTATTTTAGTAATCCTCAAAAGATAGTCCCATAGCTCCATCTTTGAATAAACGATTGTAAAACTAAATATTATATATTTAATTATTGATTAATTATTCTCCCAAGTGCGGATAAAAAATTCTCCTTCTGGGCTGAAAAGTGCACCACGTTGGAGTACTTTAAGGACAAGTACAGGAATATGTTTGAGCGGTTGATGGATGCGGAGCAGGATCCCAAGCTGAAACACGCCCACTCTTTTGACCTGGACAGAATGGTTAAGCACCAGCGAGATTTGACGCCAAAGGATCGTCGACTGATCGTGGAGTACTACAACAGTCTGAATCCATCTGTTTATCCCGATCACAAGCACCATTTTACACTGGCCAAAATTTTCTCCGGCTGCTTGTCCAACTATTCTGGAGTGGATGTGACCATGGTGGGACTTTTTAAGCCAGAGTCACGTTTCTACGAAAAGGATCAGCTTGTGGAAGACTACCTGTATATTGATGTGAGTAATTTCGGATTTAAACTGATATTACCTTTGACCTCTAACGTCCTACTCACAGTTGCACATGGGACCAACACTTCCGGTTCTATTGAAAGGCTTGATTGTTGCCTAGTTTTATATGCATTTATTGTGGTTTCTTCTTGGGTTTCTTAATTTTATGTGCAGTAATAAAGCTTTTACTTTTGGGGGAGCCTTAGCAATACATGTTGAGCTGGCGGAAAAAGTAGTGGAAGATAAGCAGGACACAGAAGGAACTGGTCACGGGCAGGCCGGCTGCTTTTATCCATCCCAGAATGTTGAAATCGTCCGGGTAGAATTCAAACTGTTCGGTGGGAATCTCGCCGCAATTGGAGATCACCACCGGCTCCACTGGGAAATCATCCGTGTCTGTTTTCACCTGGAATATAAAACGTCTTTGTAGTATGAGAACTACATTTTGGGTTAAATTCACAGGGACTGAGAGACTTTTATTTTAAAAAGACTACTGTGATTTTTATTTTAAAACAGAAGGACTTGTGTAATTTTTACTTTACAACATAACACTAGGTACATAAAATTCAGCGAGTTTAAACAATAAAACTGTTTTTACTCTTGTTTACAAAATTAAAGAAAAATCTGCCAAATTGGTAAAAAAAAAAATAAATATCAGTTGCTTTTCTAAAATAAAAGTCTCAAATAATCGCACACCTTGTTTTTAACATGTAATGTTTATAAAGCTTTGAAGCTTTTTATATATTTGTAAGTCCTTATCATTTTTCTATTTTAAATTTGTAGGTAAGCAAATATTAGGATGTTTTTATTATTTTCGTGGCAAAAATGTTGTTCACAATCTGTGCACTTTAGTAATTAATACGAACTAACAATGTTCGTAAGAAAATATATATTTTTTCTATTGTTAAAACGGAAGCACAAACTTTAAATCTATTTTTTAGGAACGACTAAGGGTTCTATCCACTTTAAATCCTTACAGCCAAAAATGCTTGAAAATATCCAATGATTTTTAAATAAAGGGATTAAATTAAGTGTTTGAAGTAAATTGAAAACCTATTTTTGTTGTTATTTTATCTATATAAACTCACATCCTCAATGGCGTAAATGGTTTCCATTCCCTCGAGTACCTTGCCAAATACGGTGTGCTTTCCATCCAGCCACTTTGCGGCCACGGTGGTCACGTAGAACTGGCAGCCATTGGAATCCGGACCGCGATTGGCCATTCCCAAGTAACCGGGTCTATTGTGCTCCACCTCCAAGGCCTTGTCTTCGTCCGGAAAGTACTCGCCATAGATGCTAGTTGACCCGGTTCCATCACCATTTAGGATATCGCCGCCCTGGACAAGGAAGCGTTCCACTACGCGATGAAAACGAGAGCCCACGTAGCTGGTTCCATTGATTCCACGCAGGCAGATGTGTCGGAAATTGGCCACTGTCTTGGGAGCCAGTTTCCCGAACAATCCAAAGGTTATCCGGCCCACTGGTTTCTTATTGTGCTTCACATCCATGTAGATTCTGGATGTCACCATGAAACTTAAACCACTAACAGCGACCGAAAAAGAGCTAAAACAGATTATCAAATTGAGGAAATTCATAGTTTCCGTTGGTTCCGGTCTTAACGCGCTGATGAAATACACAAAACTGAAACAAAAGACTGGATTGTGGAAATTAGAGAATTGAATTTCTGGGTCGGAATCCATAGAAATTCCAGGTTAAGTGCAAGCACCGCATGATGATGGCATACCCCGCTAAAACAAATCGATATCTAACACCCTGCTAGAGAATATGCATCTTTTCGATATTAATTTATACTTGATTTGTGCTTAACATTTTAATTTAAATACAAATTTTAATTTTTAAATAGGTATTTTGGCATTTGAAAAAATGTTAAATGTTGTAAATGTTTGCTTTAAATTAATAGTGGGTTTAAATAAAATATATTTAATTTTGAAAAAAAAATATCTACTTCATATAATAAATCATCTATTTTACGTTTTTCTTTAAATTAGTAGTAGGTTTAAAAAAAATAACCATTTATCTAATATATTTATGCATTTTTGTCTTTTTAGTGTGTCATCAATTTTAAATCATCCATTTACGATGCTTAGGTAAGCAACTTTTTAATATTTTTCAACAAAACAAGCAAAAATATTATGCCAGGGTATTCATAAATTCGGTTCCTTACATTCCTATTCAAAAAAATTAAAGAAATACGCTTCTTTTGTTTTCATCATATGACTTGGTCTTTAATTGTATGAACTTATAAATACGTAACTGTATGAATAATCTGCATAATTTATAGAAGCTAGCGAGCGGGTATACAAAAATTCGGGAGGAGAGTCTTCGGTTTAAGTACTCGACAACAATATGTTGCCTAAACGTATATCTTAGACTAAATAACTTAGGGATAATAAACTGCCGCTCTACACAAAACTATATCAGATACATATATACACTTAGAGATAAGCTAACGAACTAACGAACTAACAGCGGCGGCGTCTAACCTGGCTACAGTCTTGCGTGTGTGGGGATTTGATTCCAGAATCAGTGCCTCCGTTTGATGTTGTGCGTCGCCTGAGATCTATACAGCTGAATCTTCCGCAGAAGATTCGGGCAAGTCCTACATGCGCTTCTTCTGCGGATGCACATACTTGCAGTTCTTGCCCATGTTGCAGTGGCCGCGCATGAATTGCTTGCAGATGCCCGTGTTGCCACCACTGCCACCGCCTCGATTGGAGCCAGTTCCCGCTGACCGCCAGTTGCCGCCGCCGCCGGAGTTGTCCTGGAAGTTGTTGCCACCGCTGCGCCAATTGCCACCATTGTTGTTCTTATTCCGATTGTTGTTGTTCCTGGGACCTCCATTCTGCATGGGTCCAGGTCCCATTCCATTCATCATAGGTCCATTAGGTGGCCCGTTCATCATGGGCGGACCATTGGGTGGCCCGTTCATCATGGGCGGACCATTGGGTGGCCCGTTCATCATGGGAGGACCATTGGGTCCCACCATTCCCGGAGGTCCAGGTCCCGGACCATTCATCATCATGGGCGGGTACTGATTGAATCCCGGTGGCGGTGGTCCACCGAATGGCGGCATGCCCATAAAGTTCTGCGGCGGCATATTGTTCATGTTGTTCATGTCCATCCCTGGACCACCAACCGGTGGCCCATTCATCATGGGCGGCACACCAGGTGGCATACCCACACCACCACCGGGACCCATTTGATTCTGCCAGATCTGCGGCGGTCCATTCGGCATGAGATTGGGTGAGTGCGTCATGGGCGCTGGAGCCGGCATGCGACCCATGAACGGATCAAAGGGATTGGCCATCATATTGGGTCCGGCGCCACCCAGCACCGGCATCATATTCTCACTGAAACCCATATCCGATCCACTGTTGCTCGCTCCCATCCCGGAACTGCTCGCATAGCCCTTGGGTTCCGGCCACGCTAAGGCACTGTAGTCATTGACAGCATCCGGATTGCCAGTCAAATCGTCCATGGGTATTACGGGAATGTCATGGGCAAAATGTGGCTCCAGTTCCGCCTCGGCAGCACTATCGGGAATCATGTCGGGGGAGAAGTAGAGAGCTCGCAGCGTGGTTGCCTCCCTGTCCATTTGCACTTGTCGCTGCTTGGAGAGATTGCCATTGGGGTGATCGGGCACATTGTCCACTTCGATCAGCGGACGCCACTCCATTTGCGGCTCCATGGTGTCATCGAAGCCACGGCGCGCAATCGTCATCGCATCCCGTTCGCTGAATCGCTCCAGATTCTTCATCTCCAAGAAGGTCTGCTTCATCACATTCACGCGCTCCGATCGATCCACCTCGAAGTATTTTATTTGGGTGAGCTTGTCCTCGGGCTGCCAAGTGAGCTTCTTTTTGGGGCCCTTGCGACGGTGCAGCATGAGGACACCAGGTGGTCCATTGGGACCACAGCCAGGACCTGGTTTCCTCGGCTCCTCGGGCAGATCGTCCGCCGTGTCAGAGGTGTTGCCCGCTTCGCCTCCTTCTCCACCTGCCGCCGCCTTTTCCTTCTGCACCTTCTGCTCGATGTCCTCCTTGACTCGTTTCAAGGGAATATCATCATCATCGACATCCGTATCCTTGCTGGGTGATCCAGAGCCTCGAGCATCGTCGTTCTCCTTGCTGCTATCGTCCGACTTCTCTTCACTCTTCGAATCGTCTAGCGTGTCCTGATAGAACTTCAATGGTGCCACCGGGGAATCCTTGTCCGTGGGGGAATTGGCAAAGTTTCGCTTACGCTTCACCACCTTTTTGGGCTCAATTGAGGCGGCCAATGCATCCGAAAACAGATTGGTCTCCACCAGGGTTTGAACTGAAAAAAACAACAAAGGAATAGTTAGCAATTGAACTAGTTATTTAGTAATAATTTGTTTGTTTAAATAATTGGTTGAGGGTTTTTTGCTAGGAGTTGGTCAAATTGGTGGTATTTGCTTTTGCTGGAAATCAGGAAAAGTAAAGTAAAAATAACAGACTGCTGCCCACCCACTTAAGTCCCATAATTTGAGTAATTAGGGCGCTTATGAAAATTTTAAGTACTAAACAAGCTAATCCAACCTAAAAAGATGGAAAATTATTAACAAGTTTTTATTATAAAAGTTGTAAAAAGGTATAGGGTAGTTCATCTTTTGAAAATTAGTATGTCTTTGTAATAAACAACTATCTTCCTAATGATAGTTATTGCGTTTATATCTGAAGTTGATCGGAAACTGATAAAACTCAATATTATAGTATACAGTATTAGTAGAAGTGTTGCTTTTTTTCTATTCTGCTGCGTAGAAGGGGTATTAAACAGCACTTAAACTTATATTTTTTTTAAGGTTAAGATTTTTGACATTTTACGTTAGTTTTTTTCTTTATTTTTAAAGATCGTGAATTTTTTTTGCCAAATCAAAATTTCAACTTTTGTTATATAACTGTCAAGTATAATTTATTACCAACAAAGTTTTTAATTTAAAGGATCAATGTAAATTGATATTGATCTCAAATATACAAAATTTATTAGAACTTATATAATTTCTTAAAAAAATTTAAAAAAAAAAAAAAAATGTGTACTACTTGTTTACTACTCAAGTGTTAGTGGAATTTGTTACGGACAGTGTTTAATTGAAAACTTTAATATAAATAGCTTTTGGTCTTAATTAGCTTTGAGGCTTTAAAATATTTATTAGGATCCTATAAACTTTTTCAATAAATATGAGACTAACTTAATTCAAATAGATTACTAAAATCTTTGCTTTCTAATCGACCAAACATAACAGCGATCAGATCAGGCTCATCGTGCAGCTCTGCCGACAAAGTGACGCATCCGTGCTGCTGATGATGATGCACTGAATATGTGGAGTGGGTGAACACGGGGGGGATTCCCTTATCTAACCGGGAAAACAATCATGGCGACCCTCGGTGACACACGACGCACGACAATCATCGAGGCCAAAGCGAAGCAGCTGGGATTCATGCCCACGGGGTGGTGATCCACCTACCAAACGTCTAGAACCGCCAGCTCAAGTCAATAGTTTTTCGTTTTAGTTTTTCTTTTGCGCTCAATGCATTTTTTTATTCAATAGAAAAATCGTATTTTTCTAGAGGAAATCGTATTTTTATTTGTAAGTTTTTAAAGTGGGCTTCGAGCCAATGGAATCTACATACCTTATAGCTAAGCTAAGCAAAATACGTTCAAGATTTGAGAGTTTGGGATACTTAACACCAAGCGGCAGTCGCGGCGGCAACATCGTCTGTGCCTCAGATTTCTTTTGGATTTTGGTTTCGGTTTCAGCGCATGCGCAGTGTGCCCCGAACTCGAACTTCGAACTCGGACCTCCGGACATCATCCTTCGTCAGCCGGTTGGAAACAACGTCTTTAGACTCACACACTTTGGTAATTTACAATTCAATCTCGATCTAGGGGATTTGCCCCACAATACATAACAAATGCAAAGTAGCTACTCAAAAACCCCACACACTTCTAGAATTTAAGACCCCATCCCAAGCAAAATTAAACACCTTGAGGAGAAAAATAATACGGCGGAGTACGAGACTTTCGAGACTCCGATCGAACACAAAAGCAAAAACCACCAAAGACTCCGAGCGCTGTGAAATGGAATGGAAAAGAAGGAGAGCATTAGTAGGGTTTTTCGAAATCGGATGCTTACTCTTTTTGGGCGCAATCAGTTTGGCGGCTCCGGGCCGCTCCACATGTCCGGCGATGGTGTTCATGTCGATCTTGGCCTTCTTCTCGGTGGGCGAATCTCTGGGCGGCGGCGAAGGACGCTTCAGCGGCGGCGGTACAGCCAGTAGAGTAGCAGCTGGTGCCGGTGGAACCACCGATGAAGTGGGTTTCTTCAAACCCTTTCGCGAGGGAGGAGGCGGTGCCTCTTCTGTCAGACCGTGCGATCTGAATTTGGACTGGTACGTCTTCACCGTGGCCGTTTTCTCCGTATCCCGGCGTATCTCTATCGAAATCGAGGCCTTTCTGGACATGATCGGTATGGATCTGGGCTTCTGTGCCTCGCTCTCCTTGGCCAAAGCAGTGGGAGATGCACTAGCAGATGGTGCTGATGCCACTGCTGGCGGAGGCATTAGCTTGTTATCTTTGTCCTTCTCCTGCTTCGACGACGAAGAGGATGATGACGAGGACTTGTCCTTGCGATCTTTAGACGAACCAGAACCAGAGCTCGACGACGACGACGATGAGGAGGATGAGGACTTTGAGGACTTGTGTTTATTCGAGGAAGAGGATGAGGACGAACCGCTGCGCTCTCGGTCCTTGCTTGAACTGGATGAACCAGAACTGGAGCGAGCCTTGTCCTTATCGCGATGCTTATCGCTCGAACTGCGATGGGAGGAGGATGAGGAGGAAGATGAGGAGGAGCTCTTGGAGGAACTACTCTTCGAAGAGGAGGAGGAATAGGAAGACGACGACGACTTATGGCTAGATGAGGAGGACCTGTGGCTCGAGGAACTACTCTCCTTCTTTCTATCCTTCTCGCGCTCCTTCTCGGACCGTTTACTCTTGTCGCTGCTTTTGGCGCTCTTATGCTTCTTATTATCAACGTCCTCCCCAGACTTAACCTCTGAAGCCGCTGAAGCTGAACTACTATCATCTAAACTGGACGACTTTTTCCCCAGACTGGTGTCAGCAGATACTGCATGGGCCTGCTCATCCTGGTGATCATCCTCCTCCTGGTTGTCTTTGTGCGATGATGAGGATACTGCTAGGGGATCAGCTTCATCTTCATCGCCATCATCTGGCTTATCGAGCAGCGGTTTCCACTTGATGGTTATGCTGTTGGAATTACTGCTATTGGCCGCCGAGGTGATGGTGTATGTGACGGGGGCGCCGGCACTGTCCGTGCTGTCCGAGGACGAGGCAGAGTCCGCCGGAAGTCCTGGAGCAACCAACGGGGCGGCAGGTGGAGCTGCTGCCGCGATTTGTGGAGGAGGCTGCTGCTGGATCATCACGCTTGTGTTCTCCGTCACAATCTTCAGCCATTGCTCCACCAAACGCTTGGCCAGAATGCGTACACCTGGAAAATGGGGTCGAAGAAAGGCAATTAGTAATCCCCAGGCAGAAAAATGGATAGAAGGATGCTCCAAATAGGCGCGACAACAAGATTCTGAACAGTATTGAACAGGATAAAAAGAGGACTGAACAACAGGACCAAAAAGAACACGAAACTCACCTTCATTGCCGCCATCCTTGCACAGACCCTTGACCAAAATGGGTGCCGAATTGATCTTCAGCCGATTGACATCCACTGGGGAAAGGAGCAATAATTCCAGGATTTCCTGAACCAGGGGCCAATTCATCGCCCTAATGGCATCATTTAACCAAGTGTAGACCAGCGACCAACCGCCCACGGCCATAAAGTCACCCAACAACTCCGTCTTCGTGGACTTTAGTATTTGTACGTAAACACATTTCGAAACCAGTTTTTTTGAATATTTCGCCATCAAACTGTGGGGGAAAGAAAACATATTAATAGAGGCCACCAGGGGGCGCTGCTGTGTTGTGTGGTGAACTTACCCCGAAATGCGTTTCACCTCCGAAGCACTTAAAATTCCACCATTATTGTCCAACAGCACCCGAAGGCACCGCAACAATTGCAATGGCACTATGCGAGGCTATTTAAATATTTCAAAATAAATCACTTTAATTAGACACGGTTGTTCATGGTTATATTCATTTTCAAACTCACCATTTTCCTTTGTTTGTCGCAAGAGAAACAAGGTCTGGCAACACTATAGACCCTATTGCCGTCTCTCTCCCACGCGTGCTGGTATGACCATATGCGTGAAAGTTTGTGTGTATTGGTGCCTGCGTGTGCCGACGCTCGTTTGTTGGTGTGCGTAACTAATGGATACAAAATTTCCACTGATTACGTAATTCCATCAAAATCAGCTTTCGCAAGCCTTCCAAATTGATCTAAAATAGCAGAAAACAACTGTCTGAGAACCGATTTCGTAAAGATAAAACTATGCAGAAGCCCTACAATTCACTTTTAAAACGAAGGAAAAACAAATTTCAGCTGCTGTCGCCAGCAGTTGAGTCGTTTTTTTCATTTATTGTAATAGCTGCTAGTAAACCAATTCCTTGGCAAATTTTTATTGTTTTCTTTTTGTGTTTTTCTATGCTGCGGGAAAACGTGTTCTTCGCGTCGCAATTTTTTTTAGGCACTTGGGAAAATGCAGACGTGTGCTCCGCGGTTATCGATAATCGATATGCGAGTGCAACCCCGCGTGCTGTCCACTCTCCAAAAATTAAAAACTAGCGTGTTACAAAAAAAACATGCGATTGCTTTAACCTTTGTAGCACGAATGACTCTCAGCTTTTCTTTTTGTACAACCCAAGATTGACATTTGGGAAAACAGAAAGTGAAAGCTACTCAGTTTCGCTTAATTTCAAGCAAGTTGGCAGTGCCCTGCCACGCACACAAAAAAGACGCCATTTTGATTTTCACAATTTTTTCACAATGCGTAATTAAATCCGCAACCAAATGAAATGCTAGAAAATTTGCGTTTTTATAGCAATTACAGTATTTACAATATCGGCCACTTTGTATTGTTTATCTTTGTTTAATGCTAATGAATTGTCTTTATGCTAATCTTGATCACGTCCACGCCCCAAAATTAGCCAGACTTTTTGGCGACTTTGTCCGCTGACATTTTGGTCGAGTAAGAACTTAATGAGCCTACCAGAAAATATATGTATATACAATATTTTATCGGCCTTACAATTTTTATATATTTTATTTGCGACGATTTTTCTTTCTCCGAAAATTCCAGCGTGCGCTCGGCTTAGTTTTACAAAATCGTGTGACCGTTAGCTGAGCGTTGAAAAATACCATGAAAAATAGACGTTGCTTTTTTGAATAATACCAACAAGTGTAAACATTTTTTGTTTGTCTTCTAGTATTATTTTTTAACATTTATTTAAGAAATTGTGAACCACATCTAAAGGCTTATAATTTTTTTTGGTTTAGTTACCATTTATTTTATATACATAATACTCCAGAATTCTTTCCCAATCTGTAATAGCTCCAGCCCAGCGACCAGCCGCCCTTTCAACTCCCAAAAAAATGTAAAAAACTTTCTTTTCCGACAACCCAGCTAACACCAAACTCTACCAACGAAAATATAACAAAAATCATCTTGTTCCTTCAAAAACCCAACCCATCCATAAAATTGTAATATGTTTCTCTTATTTTAATATTAAAAATATATTATTATCCTAGAGGAGTTGGAGGTCATTTACAAATGCTGTAAGTTGCCGATAAGCTTTAAGGTTTAAACCTTGAGCTACCATTATATAAATAAATAAACCAAATAAATATAAAATATATATGCTTCAAAATTTATTTAAAAGAATATCAAAACTTCTTTTGTAACATAAAATAAAATTAATACTAAACTTAAAAAATACTGTTAAACTGAAAATGTGATTAGGTCACATACCTTTATCCGCTGATCTGGCAGCTCTGTCAAATCAAGCGTGCAAGAAATTATACCTGTTCAGGAATAATCATATAAAAATACGTAAAAATGAGCGACAGCGAAGCGGAGGGGACCAAAATCAGCACGGAGCCGGTGGATAATGCGTGGTCCATGAAGATTCCGGCTTTTAAGCAGGAGGACAATCCGCACGGAATGGTGGAGGAGAGTTCCTTTGCCACGCTGTTTCCAAAATACAGGGAGCGCTATCTCAAAGAAGTTTGGCCCCTGGTGGAGCAGTGCCTGGAGGAGCACCATCTGAAGGCGGAACTGGACCTAATGGAGGGCAGCATGGTGGTGAAGACCAGCCGGAAGACGTGGGACCCCTATATCATCATCAAGGCGCGGGACATGATCAAACTGATGGCCCGAAGTGTACCCTTCGAACAGGCAAAGCGGGTGCTGCAGGATGACATTGGCTGTGATATCATTAAGATTGGCAATTTGGTGCACAAAAAGGAGAAGTTTGTGAAGCGTCGCCAGCGCTTAATAGGACCCAATGGAGCCACTCTGAAATCCATCGAACTGCTTACCGATTGTTATGTTTTGGTGCAAGGCAACACTGTATCTGCCTTGGGTCCCTACAAAGGCCTGCAGCAGGTTAGGGATATTGTCCTGGAGACCATGAACAATGTGCATCCCATATACAACATTAAGGCTTTGATGATCAAGCGCGAACTGATGAAGGACCCGCGTTTGGCCAACGAGGACTGGTCCAGGTTCCTGCCCAAATTCAAGAACAAGAACATCAGTAAACGCAAGCAGCCAAAGGTCAAGAAGCAAAAGAAGGAGTACACCCCATTCCCGCCCAGCCAGCCGGAGAGCAAGGTGGACAAGCAGTTGGCCAGCGGCGAGTACTTCCTCAACCAGGAGCAAAAGCAGGCCAAGCGAAACCAGGAGCGCAGCGAGAAGCAAAAGGAGGCGGCCAAGCGGCAGGACGAGCGCCGCAACAAGGACTTTGTGCCGCCCACGGAGGAGCCTTCATCCTCCAAGCGGAAGAACGTGGAGGACTCTGCCTCCTCCTCCAGCAAGGTGGATGTGAAGGCCCTAAAGGCCAAGCTAATCAAGGCCAACAAGAAGGCGAGAAGCTGATCTGGATGCTTTTCTATTTGATAGTTTTTTAATTAGCCTTAGATTTATTCAATAAAAAAGATTGTGAGCTGAGATGAAGCAATGAAAATCAAAGTTATTATTGATTTGTTTAATTTTTAAATCGTAACTATCTCTTACTTTTCGTGTGGCTAATATGCAGATTTAAAAGCCAAATGATTTTATTTACATAAGGGGGATTGTGGGATTCGTAATTTTCTTTAATATTTTAAATCATGGAATTTCTAGATTGCTGAAATGGTTTTGTTTTTAGCTTTTTAGTTTTGCATATGTTAAATCACTTTTGTTTTAGATTTATGGTATACATTTTTGTGTAGTTAGTATGTCATTTTAAAAGCCTAAGGATTATAAATTAGGTGTTGCCCTAATATACTTTTACAACTTTTAATTTTGTCCAAAAAAACTTGTCCACAGATTGATCTCGTTCAAATCGTAGAAATCAACGCTACCTAGATTAGAATAAATTATGAAAGCCAACAGTGCGTATGAGTGATAGACTTTAAGGGCAACGCGCAGTAGGACCTTAAAAATTTCATTCAAACGAGGAACACATAAGGTTGGCTCCATTTTTCTATTTTCCCTTTTTAAACATCACGGTATAATTTCTTTGGGTTCACGGCTTTGAAGAAGAAATATTAGCATATATCAATAATAATATCGATATTTCAATGTTAAGCTAAAAAAAATATCGTGATAAAAAACTTAATATTTTTCAAAAAACTATCGATATCTTTGATAAATTTTCCCAGCCCTGCTACGAGTCAGCCAAGTTAGTACGATTTTTTCGTACCAACTGAACTGACATGTACTAAACGCGCTTAAGAAGCGGACGAACGCTCGCGTGCGTTTGACAAAAACAACAAATACGGCGACTGAAAAGCCACAACAATAACAACTACGTTCCGGGGTTATTGTTATTTGTACGTTTGTTTTCCACAAGCGACAACAAAAAAGAAGAAAACGGTTTGTGAGAACCAAAAAGAACGGAGCAAAAGAAAGCCGACTTAAAAATAAAAATCGACGAGGAGCGAGAAGGCACAACACCAAAGGCGGAGGCCAGAAAAAGACAGAAAGAAACGGCGAAGACAGGTAAAGAAGGAGTAGGAAGAAGAAGAGAGGATTAAGTGCTGAACAACAGTTACTTTTAATGTTTGAATTAAAAAATAAAACAATGCTCCAGTGATCGCAGTTAAAAAACTAAAGCCAAAAATAAAACGAAAACCAGTTAAAATACCAGGTGAACGTGACAGAGATTCGGATTCATGCTAATTAGAAAAAGAATGTGCCAGGTGAGAGGATGATATCGAAATGCTAACGAGATATCCATACCTGTAGTGCGAGTGAGTGTGAAGGGAATGCACATATGTACGTGTGTATATACGGTTTTATCACACATATCACAGGAAAATGCGGTCAATTAGAATATTGTACATAGCGAAATTAAGCCTGTATGTGTGAATTAGTGAATGAATTGAACAAAAGCGTTGAAAATCAATACGAAACCTGCCGCCGCTCCCACTTTTGTATATACAGTGATACCTGTAAATAGTGAACCTTCGATTCCGTGAGACCTTTAACATTTAATAACTCTAAAAAGTGAGCGGCTTAAAAATATGCCTTATGAAATTTTGAACTGATCGGTAAAAATTGCTTTAGCTTACATAAAATTGTCGATTGGTAAGCTTTCTTATTTATTTAAACCCATTAAAATTCAAGTAATATGCAGGCTTGTCAGTACCGGCTAAAAACATCCTGATTAATGTTTTTGGGTTTAGTTCTAAAGAGTATTGATGAATGCTTAAAATTGTTTTTCATTACTCGATACGGGACTTATGTTTAATAACATTATTATTTCAAGTAACCACTGTATGTTTACGCACGCATATTACTGTAAAGCCTCACCTGTGTGAGTGCGGCTTGGAGGTGGCTTTGTGTGTGTGCATGTGAGAGACTTGTAAAATATGAACTGCGCAAAGTGAGAGAGGAAATCGGAAAACAGGTGGAAAAGAAAGCTTAAAAAATGCGGTCGGTCAAAAACTTAAGTTGCAGCAACAGGAGAGGGGGGTGGTTGGTGGCGGGCGGAGGAAAAGAGACACGGAGACAAATACCTTTTCAAGCCGCACACACTGATACTCAGACGTCAGTCAACCTGCCACGCATGCGCGAGAGGGGGATGGCAATAGTGTAGATCAGGGTGTCGATGTCTCGCCTTTCCCCTCCCCTCCCAGCCCCCTGCCTTCTCGAGCTGGTTTTCACCCAAAGAACAGCAAAAACAACTATTGTTGTTTGTTGTTTTGCCTTTGCTACCAAAAAGTATGAGCGATAATAAAAGTAAAACAAGTAAACGAACCACCGCCTTTTTATCTAAATCCGTGCTGTCTGAATTATTTGAGACATTAATTCCCATCTCATGGTTATCAGGCCTCAATTAATTATCTTCACCTGAATGAAGTTAGTAGTAGTATTCCACTACGAGTAAAGGTATTTTAAATTTCTTCGGGAATGCCTAAGATATTTATACTGAGAACATTTTAAGTTGTTTCTTGTAAAATTTCGATTCTTTACAGCACTATGTATTTTTATATACCCTAGAAATATTGTGCAATGAATTTGGGAACAATTGTATTTTAACAATTATTTAAACTAGGTGCACACCTTCTTCTAAAAGTAATTTTTTTGCCAATTTTTTTTTATCTTAAAGGAGAACGAGATACACAATGCAAATTTGCTGGTTCTTTTATAAACTTGATACCAAAACTAGTTCAAAAACTAAAAAAACTTAAGCCTTACAAATTCGCATTCATTGAAGTGCGATAATGTTTATCGCGTTTCGTCACTGCCTCCTAAGCTGCTGAAAATAAAAAGAGCGAAAACACAAAGCTGTCAAATTCCACGAGTATGATGCAATATGGGGCTTGTACAAAAAATAAAACGCCGAGATAATATAACACAGCTCTGCATCGTAACAAAAATAAAGACTTTCCAGGGGTGTAGTGGGTCAATGTTTTCTTTTTATATGCATTTGGAGTTGTTTGTTTACTGCGATTTCCTTTTGGGCAACATCGTTTGCAAGATAGTGTACTCTAGCTGACCCCCCAAACAGTTTTCTCTTTCACCTGTTGCAAGTACACATCCCCCCTCCCCTTGACCCTGCGCCCCTGGCAGATAGGTACACAGGAAGAAAGATTTTAAATTTTTAAACTTGATGAATTTACCTATCAGTTTGTTAATTTTAAAAAACTATATTTGCTGGAATACTACATTGATACCAAAACCTTTAATCAGATTTTTTTAAATTTAAATAGTCTTTTAAGTGAGAATAATCATTTATATCATCATGAATTTAAAATATTTAACTATTTACGTTTAATTTGACCTCTGAATTTTGTTATGTGTAGATTGGAATGTCTCTGCCGCCGTCGACTGTGCAGTTGGCGTCGCAGTCGGCGCCTGAGCCCAGCCTTAAACAGGGGAACAGTTGTTACTTGAGTCGAGGGAGCGGCTGAACTATAGTGTCTGTTCGTTAGTGAGATAGAGAGAGAGAGAGCGAGGGAGAGTGTGTTTGCAAATCTCAGTTTCACATGTGTGTGTTTTTGCAGGTGTGTTTATTTGCTGCACAGAAAAATATTAAGATCAGTTCAAACCCGATATTGATTTTTTATTTATTTTTAAATAAGAAAACAGTTAAGAACATTTAAAACTTGATACAAGAAGGTTTGAAAAATGTTAAGATCACTTTAAGCCCGATTTTGATTTTATTATTATTTTGTTTTAAGCACTTCGGTTACAAGATTTGTCAAATATTTTGATATAATACTGACACACTATTTGGTTAAAAATTCTTTTTTTTTCTTTATAAGAAAGTCCTCAAATATTAAACCTTAAACCCTAAATTGCCAGGATTATTTGAAATGATAAACTGGCTTAATTTGATAAATTATAGATAAACTTTAATTGTGTTGCTTTTTATTTGCTGTCCAAATGTAAAATGTCACCATAGCTTTGGTTCTTCAGCGACCTTGAGAACTATCCAAATGTTATTTTCTGTGTAGCACAAGTGGAGACAATCAGTTAAGAGGCAAACCCGGGGAACTCGCGCGATTTTTGAATTCCAATGCTGATCCAAGCCAACAACGAAATGTTAAAGTTTGAGAATAATTGCGGCCATGTGCGGATCGCTTTTAAGTGTATGTGTTATAACGTTAGTGGCTGTGTGGAATGCGGTCTGAGTCAGAGTCTCATTGGCTGCGCAATATCTAAGGGGCTAAAGAGGATTTAGGGGGTTTTAGATGGGAGCTTAGAGAAAATCTTAAAACACTGAGGGATTATCTAAGTTTCAGCTGCACAAAATACAAAATGATTTTATACAAAATGATTTTATACATTTTCGAAGATCAATTGTTGTACCTTGTATCTAAAACTTGGTCAATGCAAATTTTAAGATCTTGAGAAAACCAAATTGGGAACGCAGACCACACCCTTTAAAAACTCATGTGTCAATGTGAAACTCTTATTTGGCAGCCTCCCAATGCACACAGAATATTTGCAATCTAAAAAAAAACTAAAGCCGGATTTCTTGTGGTGTTCTTTATTAAGGAATTAATTCAAGTTAAACATGTTTTTGAAGTCCGCTTAGAAATTCTGACATCCCAAAAATAAATACAAATACAAAAATTATATATTGGGTAATTTATAACTGATAATTCTATTATCCAATGAAGCAGAATTCATTAAAGTAGTAGCAACGTTATTTGTAAACCAAAGAAACATTTAAGTGATGTTCAACCGACTTTCTAAACGGTAATAACACTTTTGGTATTCAAAATATTTAAGCCCAACCTAATTGTTTATGAATAGCTTAACTTTAGCTGGCATTTAATAATCTTAAGTATAATTTTTCCTATTTTTCAGACTGAGTTTCAGGCGTGGAAGCAAGCCTGAAACCGGATTGGGAGACACTATGGTGAACCATCATTCGAATGGCGGAGGCAGTGCCGGAAATAGCAGTGGAAGCTTGAGAGGAGGCGGCGCCCATGGTGGTGGTGGCGGAGGAGGAGGTGGAGACTACTCCGGAGATGATCGCAGTGGCGGTGGCGAGGAGCGGGAGCGGATGGAAAGCGATCTGCACGACAAGCCCACCTACCTGCTGGAGCACCTGGCCACCTTTACGGTGAACAAGGAGTCGGGCATTGTGTATCCCGCAGACGGAATGCGACGACTCCTTCAGCTGGAGAAGACCACTGGGATTTGGTCGCAGAAGATGCAGCTCTGTCTGGACTACCAGTGGGTTCTCATCATGGACTACGAAACGGGGGTAAGTCCGGAGTATTGTCTTTTTAGGCCTTTAGCTTATCGAAATCCCTCTTTTCCAGAACATCATCGAAAGATTTCCAGCTTCCCTGGTCCAGGAGCCCACCGCCTTCACCTCCAACGACGCCATGGAGCTGTACAACAACATTCTGGTCTTTATCGTGTCCGGAGGCGGTGGTTCCCGCTCCGAGATGCACATTTTCCAGGTGAGCATTGTAACTCTTATTTTATGATTGTATGATGGTAAAAAAAAAGTAGGAAGCAACCAAGCCTTTCTAGTTTGAAATTACCAAATTGATAAAGCTAATTTAGAATTCCAAAATTTATATTCATTCTTTTTAAGTGGAATGTGTCATGCAATTTACTGTAGCTTATTTTCAGTAAAATGATGTTGTTTAATTGCGCAAAAAAAAAAAACTTGACATAAGATTGTCACTGGTCGGTTGACACATGATATGTACAGTGCACATATTTAATCCGGTTAAATTTAAAAATGGTCACTGCACTTATCGCAAAAAAATAAAATTTACTTTTACATATGTTATCAGTGTGAGGTTGTTACTCATTTCAGTTCTTAACATTTTGTTGATAAAGCTTTTTAAATTGTAATGCAGCTTATTTTCAACAATTTTTAAACGTTCTTTTATTTGTTTACTTACATTGAGTTTACTTTTCATCGCTAATCCAAACGAATAATCGACTCTAAACTGATGTTCGTTATATTTGTGCTTGTTTTTATAAATTATGTTTGTAAGGGCACTGAAATATGCCAATTTTGAGAACCCCTGACCATAAACCTAAGTTAATTTCAAAAGGTTTTGATACCCTGTACTTAAGATCCTAAAATCTTCTTTAATTTCACAAGTAATAACCCTTCAATTGCACTTTTTTCTTCTTACAGTCACAAAGCGTGTCCGCTGTTCATCTGGTGGAGGACCTAAAGCAGCTGAGAAGTGGCAAGATGATCACGCAGCAGCGCGGTGCCACGCCCACGCAGTCGGGAGGCGGGGCGTCCAGCATGGCCATGATGATGAGCAAGACATCCTCGTCGTCGTCGCACAGTCGCGTGGAGTTGCACCAGCACAGGGAGCAGCGGATGGAGCGCGAACGGGAAAGGGAGCGGGATCGGGATCGAGATCGCGAGCGTGAGCGTGAGAGCCACCATCACCATCAAATGCACCAAGGGAACAGCAGCGTGGAGCAGTACGGAATGAGGGCCGGCGTGGTGGGAGTTTCTGGCGAGGATGTAGCCCACATCGGTGGCGAGACGGACTCGGAACATGGTGGTATCGGAGGAGGATTAGGCGGAGGAGCGGAACGCGATGAGACCAGCTCCACATCCAGCGAGAAATACGAACGCGATGTGGCCGTTCTAAATCACTGTTTCGATGACATTGAGAAGTTCATAGCGCGACTCCAACATGCGGCTGCAGCTTCGCGGGAACTCGAGCGGCGTCGTCGTAATCGCAAGTCCAAGAAAAGGGATCCGGGCGAGGGTTTGCTCACCCTGAGAACCCGGCCGCCACACGAGAAGGAATTCGTGGACATATTCGCCAAATTTAAGCTGTCGTTTAACCTTCTGGCCAAGCTGAAGGCGCACATCCACGACCCGAATGCCCCCGAGCTGGTGCACTTTCTGTTCACACCGCTGGCCCTGATTGTGGAGGCCTCTAGTGACACCTACTATGAGTCGCAGCTGCCGGCACGCGTGGTGAATCCCCTGCTCACGAGGGAGGCCATCAACCTGCTCATCAACTGTGTGACCAGCAAGGAGACGGAGCTGTGGCGTTCGTTGGGCGATGCCTGGGTCATACCGCGCGATCAGTGGAAGGACGATGTGGGCTCCTATCATCCGGTCTTCCTCGATGGCTGGTCACCCGATTACCTGATCAACGATGAGCTGGAGCCGCCACCAAATTCCCCGCCCGCTCATGTCAGCAAGCGCCGACTGGAGGTTCAAGCGGGATCTGGACTAAATGGTCGTGGAGGAGGAGGCGGCGGTGGGTACGATGACTACGACTCGGGGAACGGGATGAACATGGCCATGGGCATTGAAAAGTATACCATCCACCATGGCAATGATGTGTTGAGAGAAAGGGAACGCGAGAGAGATAGAGCGGGAGCCATCAGCGCCTCTGAATTCAACACCCGCAGCGAGCTTTCCTTCGACTCGATTGAGGGAAGGGGCGGACCACACGGTCATGGCGGCCATGGAGGACCAGGAGGACCGGGACCAACCCTCAGCGCCATCACAGCTGGTCTGCAGAATCTGCATACGCGGGAATCTCGTTCCGGGGGCAATGGATACGGTGGCTCTGGTCCAGGACCCTCTTCTGAATTGGGCGGCGGCGGCGGAGGAGGAAGGGGTGGTCCACCAAATGTCAGCGACGATCAGATGCTCGAGTCCTGGCTGGAGGATTTGCAGGCGGCGGGTGCCAAGATTGTGCTGGTCACCTATCCACGCACCGCCAACAACGACAAGGAGCTCAGCGTGATGCGGGGAGAATATCTAGAGGTTGGTATTGCTTTCTTAAATTTATGTGTGTAAAACTGTGCACTGAAATCTAATAATCAATGCGGAGCGTAAACCAATAGGGCTATGTCCGAACATTTGAGTTCAATGTATTTTATAAATTATTATATTAACAAAACGCACAGCCAAACTAATTATTATTATAATAATTTTTTTTTGAATTTATATAGTTTTTGTTACAACAATTTTGGTTTTTTTTTTGTTATTTTTTAAAACATGATAGTTTTTTTAACTCTAATTTTTTTTCACTTTTCTATTATTAAGATATAAATTTCGATTTACCGTCAAAAAATGATACTTTTAAAAGATCAGATTTTATTCCATTGCACAGGGCATTTTAAAATTGGTCCAAAATTGATATAAAAAAAAAAAATAATAAAACTGTATTATTTTTCTCTTAACTTTAGATCCTTGACGACACCCGAAAGTGGTGGAAGGCGCGCAACATGCGGGGACAAGTGGCCCATGTGCCCCACACGATCGTTACCCCTTTCAATTTCGGCGATGGCGATGGAGCCCAGTTCTACGGGCAGCAACAGCAGCCAGGACAGGCGGGTCCTCCAGGCTCGGGCAACAAACTGCGATCCGGGGTGGGTATTCCATCCAGTTGTATTTATCAAATGCCATACTAAATGACATATTTACAAACCAGGACAACGCAGGCATGGAGCAAAGATCACCGGATCCCACCGACATGATGCGTAGCAAGCATTTGGGCAAGAAGGGCGAGTTCCGCTACTTCTAGGATCGATCGATATACGATTACCGCATACATATACACATATAATCCGTAGTGAGAATCCGTAGCATTAGAGAGAGAGACCAGACATCAGCAGTCCCGTCTAGGAAGCTAGTCCTGATCCCCAACCGATTGGATTAGCTCCGATGCTTTGCACTTGCTCGCAGGAGAGTGTGCAAACTATAACTAACCTTAAGACTAACCTAAGTGGAGCTCCAGATTGGAACTGTTGACTTGAAGCTGATGCTGATCAAGATGATGATGAAAAAGGGAGGCGACGGCAATAATTTGTTTTAATAAAATTATATCCAAAGGATCCCTCTGATTGTTGTAATCAATGATAAGGTCGATTGCGATAAAAGGACATCGTTTCATAAGTATTGGTAAGGAATACTAATACTGATATTGGTAGACTTGTTAATAACACCATGTCGAAATTGGCTAAGGCAACCGTTAAACATAGAAAATTAACGGCTGAAAGGAGTGAAGAATTGATTTTGGCATAGCAAAACCATAACTAAAGCATAAACAAATTATCTAATAACGAAAAATTTGGCTACCCACCATAAGGAATATGTATATTTTTTAGATCATGATGAAATCGATAAAATAATGGTTATGATATAACAGGGCTGATATATTCCAATGATCTTTACTATAAGCTAAGGTTACAAAAACACAAAGATACGGAGAGCTGCTTTGCTTTATTTGGATGCTCACAAGAAGAAGTTAACTGGTGCCGTAGGGTGATCAAAGCCAACGATTGAACAAAGAGCATTCTACGAAAATTCGAAACAATCTTATTAGATTCCAGGAAACCCCTTCGATTAGATGATGGATAGTTTTTCCACGCGGGCCAAAAGTGGCGAATCGGAGTGGTATTCCATGCTCCTCACGGCAAAGTCGCCCACCTCGTTGGTAAAGCACTTCAGCGTGGAAATGGAGAAGGGGCGTCCCGGAAAATTGTAGTAGGTGAAGTACTGACCATTAACGGCGATCAGGAAGGCACGATCGCCGAGGCCAAAGGCGATCTTGAACAGCTTTCCTCGCACAAATGGAAATTCACCCTCGGTCTCCTCGTCACTAATAGCGAAGCTGAAATAAAGAAAAAGGAATTTCGTCACATAAGGTAAGGAATATTTAAATTTGTATTGGTTGTAAACGGTTCAGCGGCTGCACTCATGTCAGTAAGGCAAGGACTAAGCTGAATATCAAATCGTTTTAATAATTTAATACATTGAATTGAAGACTTCTAAAAATAATAAAATAACTTTTATTTTAAAAAATATTTAAAAACTTAAATACCATTTAACAAGTATTTTTAGAGGATTTAAAAGAATGTTTAAGCCGGTTGTAAACGATGCAGCGGCTGCATTCTTGTCTGTAAGACAAGGAATAAACCTAACAGCTTCAACATAATTTTTATGTTCTATACATCACTGGCTTTTAAATTGATGTATAAGTAAATGACTCGTCTTAAAATTTTTAAACTAAAAAAAAAAAATTTTAAGTAAAACAGAAATCATGGTTCTTCTGTAACAAGTACAAAATATTTACAACTTTCAGTAATATTTTAACATATGCATCGGGTTATTAGAAGATATAAGCATATAAGCATATATAAAGTACTATTTCTGTGACTTCACTGTACCTGTTGTCTTCCCGCTGGTAGCTTCGTGAAACCGTTGTCCTGTCAAAGTTCACATGAAAACGGAGTACTGTCCTCCCAGTGTCGTTGCACTGGAAACAAATGGAGAACTCCGTGGTCGGTGGCCCTTTGGCGATGCATTCCATCGCAACCACGGTTCCGGTTTCATATCGCCGGGGCACATCGCTCTGGAAGGCCACTTTGTCCGGGCACATGAGAGTTCTCGGGAAAACCAGCGGAAAGAGCATGCGGTGATGGAACTGGGTGATTTTTTCAAAGTCGCCGTAAGCCCGCACGTAGTTTATCTGCTTGGGAAACTTGACAAACTCAAATGATCCGTACAACTGATCGTTTACGTAGATCTCGAAGCATCGCTGCAGTACGGCCACTCGGAAAGTGAAACTCTGACCCGGTTGCAGAGGATTCTTCGGTCCGTCACACTTCCAATTCTTTGAAATCTCCTCCTGCTGCCATCCTTCGCCCGGCTGGAACATGCTCCGGATGATCTGACCCTCGCGGAAATTGGCCTCGATCTTAAGGAAGACCGTTTCGCTCTCGTTCTGCGCATTCACATTGTCCGTGAGGTCCAGAGATATTCTGTCCGTAAATCGAAAGGGGATTTGTATGTAAAAATTGTAAACTTTAAGGTTCTCGGTATTCGTATTTTTTTCTTTCAATGATTTTTTAATTTATGTAGTGAGCTAATTTTTAGTTATTTTTTTTTATATGCAGTAATTTTTTGAAATTTAATAACTTATGTAGGTATTTGCATTGAAACTTTTTTGGTTGGTTTATCAATAAAAACTTTTAATTGCATAAAAAAATTGAATTTTTTTACAATAAGCTTGTTAAATAGTTCAGTGATTATAAAGGACTTGAGACATCTTCATGTTTTTATTATTATTATTGCGTGCCAAAGGTTTCCATACAAAACCCTTTCGTTTGGATTAAAATTTAATCTCAAGACAAAACTTTTAAGCAGACAAACGGGTATGCTAAAACATAGATATTGAATCCTCTCCACGTTATTTAGCGAGTACCGAGTTTACCCGAAAATAAGAATGTTTTTCTTACTTATTTGGATGGGGCTTGACGCGTCCACTGACTATGAGGACATGCCCGAACGGCACCTCCGTTAGGACCTTTGCCTTCCACACGTTCATCGCGGCTCGCGGTTCCACTGCAACTGACTCAACGAATCCGTATCCGTAGCCGTAGCCGTATTGGATATTGGATTCCAGCTAGGATCCAGCTACGGCGCCGTTTTATGCGCCCTTATGCTAATAGATTCGCCATCCGTCGCCTTTCCTCGTTCATTTGTTGTGATTATGTAAAGCGGGTGAAATGAGGAATTACCTGCAGCCGCATGCAAACTTGACATGGACGTGGACGTGGTAAGGTTATCCCCATTCCCATTTGCCATCTAGAAGCCATCAACCCGTTCAATCGAATCATATAAACTGTAGAAATCCCCAGGCAACCCCCAAATATCCGACCCAGTGAGCTGCGCTTCATGACGAGAACCTTGCGCGTTTATTTATTTGATTCAATCCTTGCCTTTGTAACCCATAACTGTCATCCTCGAGTTCTTTTCACGGTTGCTGTCACGCCCCCATCTGCCGACTGCCCATTTGTTGCTAGTTACTCGCGCCACTGAGAGAAAAATGTAAACTCTAATTTGTAGCAAAAAAAAAAATAAAAATAATAATACTTTTTAAACAATACTTTTGCAGTTATAATAATTACTATTCCAACTCAATCCACCCCAAACACTACGGAAATAAAAATCAATTTTCATAAGAAAAAAACATTTTTTTTTCCTTTCTCAAAAATATAATATTAAGGCAAGTAAAAATATCCCTTTAACTACCACAAAATAATTTTAGGATCGTAATATTTATTACTCGTATAACTATGAATTTATATTGGCAAGTCATAAAGGAAAAGTTTGCTGAACAAATATTGATACAGATTTCAAGTTGATAGACTTGGCTTATTTAAACTATAGTCAATTATTTTAAAGATAGGAAAGTATTACCTCTAAGACTCGAATAATTCAGGTCAAGTCAAAGGATTATAAAGATTTCCTTTTCTTCTCGCCGTGTTCTCCATCTTAACCTCTCCCTTTTGACGGTTCCATTGTTGTTGCGTGTCTTGGGCAAAATAAAACAAGGTAACAACAATTGATTCCCTGTCTAAAGTTTTTGCATTTGCAGTAAAGTGCGACTTGGGGGCCGGCCCTCGGCCTGGAGCACTTTTCTACCCGTGATTTTAGTTCGGGTAATTCATTTCTTTTGACGTACCTTGGCATATTCGCTGAAGTTCTGTCTCCGTCTCTGTCTGCGTCTACACCTTTTGCTTTCGCTTTCGTCTACGTCCAAACCAATGACATCTCCTCAGGGTTCCACACTCATCCTAGTACAGCAAAAGGTCCTCTGGATGGTCAGGTATTTTCTATAGATATAAAACTGTTTACTCAAATTTAATAATCAACGTACAGTCAAATCTAGTCAAATTCCACTTTCGGCACAACAATTTTGAGTAATATTTTTATTAATTTATTTTTTTTTTTTAATGAAAATTTACTAGCTTTGGGCTTTCATACTTCTTAGATTTACAGTTTCTAATGAGCTTCATTCAAAATTCAGGCACACAAAAAATAAGAGCTTTGCTGATATAAAAACCAATAACAATTTTTCCCAAAACAGTTTACCATTAAATTATTTCATTATTTACAACCCAGATGACAATTAAACGAGGGTTTTGCATGAGTGTAAGTGCAAACATTGATTTATCCAGTTTTAGGATTGTCATTAAAAAAGAATTTGTCTTAACAAAGGTCCGTGTTGTCCAGTTTTTATGGTTTTACTGTACTCCCGCGCCGAATACGTGGCCTCTGTTTGTCTATGTTTCCTTCGCTGTTTCTGTCGCTTGCACCTGATCGAATTGGGTCCAAGTCTTCAAGTTTAACTCGACTTGGCTCGGCTCACTTATTTCTGATTGCGTTTCACCTTGGTGCACCCACACCCTGAGTTGCCTCCCACCCAAACCACCCAAAACACCACCCATCAGATCCAACCTTTCAATGATGTGCCTGGCTTTGCCTGCTACGAATGGCAAATTGCTAATTGGTTAGTTATGGCCACTGACAATCCAATCCATCAATCGGCTCCGACAGCCGAATGTATAAACATCCCGCGATGACCTTGTCAACTCCTTTCTGACCTCTGATCCCCCGCCCACTTGTTTGGTAGTCTTTTCCAAACACAACTAATGAAGTAATCGTGTCGATTTCAACTTTAATTTCCGCTTGTCACTCCAACTGATAACCCGAAAGCAAGTGGAGCAACGCGAGCAAGCTTTGTATACGTTGCACATTTATCAGTTTCGGTTACCTTTTTACCTTACAGAGGTGCCACGTTGTCCCCCAAGAACCCTTTTTTAACCCTACTGCAGGGAACAAATTTATATTTCCATTTTTTATATATTGCCAGGTCAAAAATAAATATTAGTCTAGTTCATATTATTGTTGAGTGAGTGATGTCATTAAAAAATACATTTTACACTTCAATCTTATTTCACTTTTATTTTTATTAAAAAAAAAAAGAAACCAAAAGGGTACAGGTTCGATTCCTGCTGCTGTTCTGCTGGCGTTTCTTGTTTTTACTATGCATCAGGAAAATTTTGATTATATTTATAATATTACTATTATATTCAACGTGTATAATATTTATTTATATCACTTTTATTTAATTCTGATATTTAAATGTCTAAATAATTAAGAAGAATTAAAAAAAAAACTTTAAGTTAAAATTATATTTATATCATTTTGATATTATAATATCAAATTGATATTTTTGATACTCGCCGGACAAGTTTCAACCGATATTTGGGAATAAGGTCCACAACCTATTTAATTGACAGCCTCATCATATCGTCTTTTCTTTCTGTGCACTTCTCCAGGGTTCTTATCTCGCTCCCAAGTCATTTTTCCCAGTCGTATCGAATCGGTTCGGGGTGAGCGACGACACGTCTACAGAAATCAGATTTTACGGTCGCGGGACTGCCGACGGAACCGCAAATCGTACAACCAATACAGGTGATAATGGCTTTATGGCCACCGAGAGTCCATGCCAGCACACCAATACCCAACCCGAACCCGATTTCGAATCCCCGAATTCGAATCGAAGAAGCAAACGGAAGCCGAATGTGGCGGCAATCGTTAATCGACCGGCTTCACCTCTTTGGTGGCGTCTGCTTTTTTGGGTATCAGTAGTACCAGTACCAGTATCAGTATCAGTACCAGTTTAATTATCAAACCCCAATCAATGAAAGAACCATTTCTGATTGATAGGGCTTTCGAGGAATTGCTTTTCAGGTGTTCTGATTCCAATGTAAAGCCGATCCTCACCTGATGACGTCTTCATTTCAAAACGCCAAGTGTAAAACAAACCCGCAGTTGCCAACTCGTTAGTACACTTGAGATATCCATTGATAACCGCATTAGTTCCAGGTTCCAAAACACTTCCTTGAGTATGCATATTATATAGAACCAGAACTACTCCCGATCTCCACCACGTGGCGTTTAAATCAGACATGAAAATAACTTAAGCCAAACGAACAAACTTGTAGCATTGCAATTACAGTTTGCATTCCCTTGGCCCAAGTAATTCGCTGCCCCTTTTTTGAAGGAGTTAGTTACACGTAGGCACTGAACGCTATATTGAAACCATATCTTTCGCTGAACAAGAACGGGGATCGATGGTGGCACTATATGCACTTGTCGCGATTCAAAACGTAACTGAAACGTCGGATTTGACGGTGAAGTTTAAAACGCCAGCTCCCGATGGCGGCGGCCCACGAAGTATCGTCGATCGCTGGCGATATCTCACCTGTACAGGTGCGAATGCGAAGGAGAACTAGAAAGGAAGCAAACTTCTGTTAGTCGAAGTTTGTATACCCTAGCAGCTATACAAATATTCAATATTTTTATGAAACGACTATATTTATTTTTTTAATCTTATACGTTTTGGGACAATGAAGACTCGCAGATTTTCAAATGAATTTTTCGATCGTTCTATCGTTGTCTGATTTTTAATATTCAAATAAATTAAAAAAAAAAATTTTTTTTTATACTTTATACTACTTTATATAGTTCCTACTTATATAGCACCAGCAGAATGATAACTTATTGGGAAAGTTTTATTCAGGTAGCTAGTTTGCTTAGAGGGTTGGATGTGTCTTCTTTTCTGCATTGCAAACGTTTGACTAAAATTAAAATACTCTATGCAAGGGTATAGCCAGAGCGAGAGGGAGAGTCCAAAAACAGAAACGGAAAACAAATAAATATGAAATATTGAACTGGAGCAGAAAGTGGGTGATATTTTGTAGATAGCAGAACACACACACACACACACAAACACACACCGGAGCAAGCGTGCTGTCTTTGTATTGGCCATTAAACGCTGCTGTCAACGTAGCCACACGGGTTGAAAAGAAAATGAAATGGAAATGCCAGTAGAAATGCCAGTGGAAATGTCGCCCCACAATTTGTCTCAATAGATTCTGTCGTGGCTGGCGTTATCAGTGAAGCTAGTGTGCCAACAGGTGAGGGCTCTCGACGACAGCTCCCTTTTACCTGCGACCCGGTCAGGCGCATCCATCAACAAAGCACCCTACAATGGCAGTCAATTCTATAGTGTTTTCTACTTTTGTTAGATTTAGGTTTTTAGAGTGAGAATTCTGTCCATTTTTGAGACCTTGATTAGACTACTATAGTTGTTATAATAGAGACTTTAAGAGGATTAAATGCTCTATTAAAGTGTTCAAAAAAGTATGCTGTGGAAAATAGTATGTCCTGTTTATATATTACATTAATTAATTATACATCTTACATGGAATTTTTGGGGACTTAAGAACTTGAGAGAATTCAACTGACGTAAACTTTAAAGAGATTTCTTTGAAAATCATATTATAGTGTTTAGAAGTTTGCTATGATAGGTATATAAATACATATCTTTGATACATTTAAAAACTCGATAGATTTTTGTTAAACAGTTAAGCTGAGAGATCCAACCTTTGGTATTACTATTTTGACCTCAACTGTACTTAAGTAAGTGCCTCCGACAAATGACAACTTATATTCTATGCGCTGGAGCGATCTGTTCCACAATTTCGTCAGTGACTTTATCGGAGGACAGCGAACATGCCTAGAAAAGTCATAATTTTCTTTGATGTTTGCACGAGGCGGAGAGTCATTAATTGATTTATTACTAAAGTTGATTGCCACGGCTTCTTGGGTTTGCCCTGGTCCGATTTGGGGATGTCCAAGTAGTTATTTGACCAACTAATTAGGTAAATGTGTTTGCTCTGATGTTCCAACGACTTCAGGTGATATCTTCTCGCCTTGACAGATATCATTTTTTTTCCAACAATAAGGGTGGAGAACATGCCGTCGATCGGGCACTTAGTGATTGGGATGGCATGGTTCCATTTCGTCACCCAATGTTTGCTCCATTTCGATCGTTGTTTGAAGTGGGAACAGAAAGTGAGCATACACCTACACCCCATTTTTACCCATTTTTCCCCAGCATTCCCATTCTCAATTCAATTTCCAGCAAATGTGTACATTTGGTGGGTGTTTATTCAGCTTGACAATGTCTTGTTATTGTACACAGTACAGCGAATACCTATATACATCACGAGTTCCATGGAAACAATTTAAAGATCGACTGTTTTTTGGGGCAGCTGCTTCTTGGCCTCGATCACATTCTGCATGACCAGATCGTACAGGTTGTCCTCCTCCTCATCTTTTTGGGTGTCCTGATCGTGGGGTTTATCCTTGATCTCCTCAAGACTTTCCAGTTCTTTTCTATAATTTTGCAGAGCCTCTTGAAGGAGCTTCTCCACGGGCGAATACGTAGAACGCGATCTTAAGCGGGCTTTTGCTATTTCTAATGCCTGAAAAATAGTTAGGATCTTTAGCATATACGCAGAAAAAAAACATGTGTAAAATCAAAAATTTAAAATTGGAATTTTTATTGTTAAAACAGCTCTACAAAGTAGTTTATTGCTATACAAATTGTAGTTTTTAAGTACACTGAAAAATGGTAACTGTCCTAAATATTTGTACTTTAACTATTTAAATCATAGTTCCTTTTATATTTGGATTTTTTTAGAGACACTAACATTTCATAAAAAGCTTACTATCATTTAATAAACGAAAAAAAAGTTTACAATAGCTAAACTTAAGCCCTCCAAAATACTTGAAAATTTCGCAAAATAGGGAAGTGACAATTTTTCTATGTTAATTTTACATATGTTTTTTTCCTGTGTATGTATTATACTTTTAAAAAGAAAAGCCTACCTTCAAGGTGTTGGTATTTCTCAGTAAAGCATCTTCATAGGACAAAACTTTGGGTGCAGGGGTATGGATAGAAGTCTCGGCAAGCTTTTCGTTTTGACGTTCTAGTTTTAGTTCTTCAGCTTGCCTAAAAATAAAATAATTAATCCCAGATCTTTTTTTCATTTTACACAAGAATAACCCACACTTTCTCCAATTTTTGATCGATCTCCGCCTCAAGGGCCAGGTATTTGTCATTAATCTCCTTGATCAGGTCCATTGTGCGTCCTTGCAAAAGGATTTGTAAATAAAAACGTAAACAAATCAGTTGCTATGCAACGGAAATTTTTTTGACTGCCAGTGCTACCAGGTTGATGAAAAACATTCGTGACGTAGTCGTAGTTACCTGAGTTCTGTATTTTATTCATTTGAGTGTTGCCACAGCTTTGAAAAAAGATACCTTTAACCCAAAAAAACAAAATCTGTTTTTATTTACTTATTAAATTATTTTACTAAGAATTTATAAATAATTGGTATTGGGAAAAAATGTACATTATAAAAAGCAAAGAATTTGCACATTTTTTTTTATCAATAAAATTAATTATATTTATATAAACATTCAATAATATAATAAGTTTAAAAATATTTTTATGCTGTATTAAATTAATACTAAAAGAACATTCACTGGATTTAAAAACGAAAAAAAGGCCATTAGTTGTTGCACTAAGCACAATTATTTTATCTGTATAGTCAATAAAATGAGAAAGTAATTACAAGTGAAATTGCGATAGTCTATCTCTACATGCTTTATTATATGTGCAAATAATGTTTTGCTGATAAATAGTTCTGGGAAATATAGTATATACGCCGCTTTTATGTTAGTTACACACATAATAATTTATTTTTTTTTAAAGTCGGATAAGTTTAGCAAATTAATTTTAGTCTTGCAACTTTGGGTTTAATTTCATTTCCATCGTTATACAATACCTAACTTTTAATACCGATTTCAATCTTCCAAGATAGATTTTTTTTTCACTATCTTCCAAAGACCTTCTTCCTATGTGCTTTACTTCTAATCTAGCTGACGCAAATATATCGTCTAGGTGAAACCTTTTCCGGCATCGCATTTTTATCTTCCGGGTTAGTTTCCGCCCTGTAGGTTTTTTATAATAAATCCATTTACTATATTCCAAAGTCCAGCAAAATCTATATCCCTTCAAAAGATAAGAAATCAGAGAGAAACATCATACTATTCTATAAAAAAAGCGTCTTTATCTACGGCTATAAAAAGTTTGTAAAAGATTGTAAGCTTGCATGGTAGTGATGACTGGCGAAACAGTTAAATAGCAAATTGAATTTTAATAATGACTTGCTCTAAAGAGAATGGTGACCATAAAAAGATACATCGTGCCAGAAAGCTTTCTCGCCGTTCAAAGTTCAAGTAGCAACAATTGTTTAGCTATGACAAAAAGCCGGGTTTTTGTTTGGTCATAAATTTGTGTGTTTTTATTAGATACCACAGAAATCGGACACATACCTTTGCTCACAGACACATCACATATATGGGATGATATATATACAAACTATCTACATATAGCATTCTCTATCTAGCCTCCTACTTAAGTAACTTTCTAGTCAATCGGTCAATGGTACCTCACGGGTCCTTTAAAAACTGATTGATATGGGGTGCCACACGTTCCGGGGTCACGAGATGCAGATGATGCGTGCCGGGAACCTCAACATACACCACTTTGGAGGCATTTTCCCGCAGCGTTTTGATCACTTCCGCGTAGACCTGCGGCGATTCGAACTTCATGCCGGGATTTCCCCGAATGTTGAGCACTCGGCAGCGGATTTGACGGGCATAGGCCAATGTCTGCTCCGCGGTGAACATGCCCAGCAGGCTCACCTTCAGCCGCAGATCCCTGGCGAACAGATAGCCATCTTTGCTGGGATTGTGACGCATTCCCCGTTTCATCAGCACCCGCACGGAGGGCTCATCCACGGAGCCATCATAAGCGTCCAGCACTAGCTTTATCATCTCATCGTACGAATAGCACGGCTGTTTGCTCTCCGGCAGTGTTTCGTAGTCCAGGAATTTGTCCAATGCCTTGCCGGTGCCCTCCGCCATCCTCTTAGTTCCCCGAACTGTGGGACCAGCAATATCGATGTTGATCAGCTTCTTCACCTCCAGGGGAAAACTGGCTGCGTACATGAAGGTCAGAGCTCCGCCCAGCGAATGACCCAAGAGGGTGACATCCTTCCAGTTATATTTGCGCACTATCCGGCGAATCAGGCATATGCCATCCCAGAAAATGAAGTACTGCATGCCCTGCGGATACGGCGAGGATTTTCCATGCCCAGGCAGATCGATGGCCAGAACGGAGGTGTCCGCCGGCATCAGTGGGCACAGGCGGTCGAAGCTGCCGCAGTTGTCCTGCCAGCCATGAAGCGCGATGATTGGTTGGCTCTCCTTCGAACCCCACCACTTTCCTAAAAGCGACGAAAATCGATTAGTACACAGGAATAACAAATTTGTATAGTATTTATGGTTTGCTTGTATGATGCATATCTATTGGATACTACAGTCCAACTTTTATGACTAAAAAAACTGTTTGCTAATCAATAATAATACAAATTTAAATTTTTTAAAAGGCGAAGCAGAAATTTAAAAAAAAAATGTCTGAAAGTAATGTTCTACTTATTTAAAAAACAAAGAACGTGATTAAATACTAAAAAAAAACTTCTTCACATTGACAGTATCTATTTGTTAGTTCTCTGTGCACCTGTCATATTAAAAATCTCTTTTAAAAAAAATCGAGCTCAGGAAGATCAAACTATTTGTTTTTTTCTGTGTAGCCGCGTCGCATTCGAAATCACGTCAGAGCGGCATGAATGGGCCGATGGGTTGTGATTAGGAAACGGCGCCTAGATGACTCACCCTCAACGGTTCCCCACGGAACGTCGATGGAGAACTCCTCCCAGCTGTTCTCGCCCAGAAGCTGCAGTTCCTCCTCCTCCAGGCCATCTACAAAGAAAAGCAAAAGGTATTGGAATTCCAATTAAATCAAAAACTGACATCTGTGACGAAACAAAGTGAATGGCGAAACCGCCAGACGAAACCAGGTGAAACTTCGGACTGAGGTGCGAAATGCGTGCCATTTGGTGACCTGACCATGACCTCCTCCTCCGGTTTACTCACTTGCAGTTTCTGGGGAAACCACTGTCTCCGGCGATTTTGTTGCTACGCGTGTCTGGCCCATGACTAAATAGATTGTAAGTTTCCGTAACGCTAAATGCGGATGAGGATCAGACGTCGAGCAACTGCTTTGAGCGAATCTCGGAGAGAGACTGGCCAAAATCACAAAAGTTTCCTCTGATCCGTACACTAAAACTGATTACCGATAGGTATTAGCATGACGGAACTGTCATTTTGGCGGGAAAATAGATTTAAAGCTGGATGGAAAGCTAAAGTAGGAATGGACTGGAAATCGGGGTAACCACACCGCCATTTCAACCAATTACGCCTTCTATAACTAACACTGACTAGTGATATAATACTAGTTTAAAATTGTTTATATTTTTATTTTAATTTAGAGAAATGAACGGAATAATTAAAAGTATTGAGTTCTTTAAAGATGTGTGAAATCTGGATTTTTCAAACTAGTGTGTTCTTGGTATTTAAAATAAGCTAGATGTGGCTAGCTAAAGGTGCACCTCGATTCGAACTAAGTGGCAACTCTGAAACTAGTCTATTGTTTTGATTCGCAATTGTAAATACAAAATTAATTGTTTTTCTGGTTAATTTAATAACAAATCAACATGTAAGTGCAAAAAATTATAACCCTATGTCTTCAGCAAACAAATTTAATAACCAATGTTTACAGGACAGAGTTCTGGAAATCAAACGAGCGCAAGTTTTGCGATTTTTGCAAATGCTGGCTGAGCGACAACAAGGCGGTGAGTTTAATAAACTATTAAATTAAGAATATTTAATGAGACTTAATTCCGCAGAGCGTGGCCTTCCACGAAAGTGGCAAGCGCCACAAGCTAAATGTGGCCAAGAGGATCACGGACATCAGCCGGAGCAGCGAGAAATCGGAAAGGGAGCGCCAGAAAATGGATGCGGAAATCCGGAAAATGGAGGAGGCAGCCATGAAGTCGTATGCCCAGGATGTTCATTCCCGCGGGGACATGACCGCCAGATCCATAAACACTGTGATGAGGGCAACCGCCTCCTCCTCGTCTTCTAGTGGTGCCCACTCCTCAGGAAGATCGCGCCAAGTAGATCCAATGCGACTCGAAGGACTCTCCGATGAGGAGGAGGACAATCGGCGGGTGGCTCCTGGCAAAGTAACCAACGAAGCAGCCATTCCCGAAGCCTCCCTATGGGTGGAGGGCAAGTCGGATGAGGGACACACCTACTACTGGAATGTTAAGACCAATGAATCCGTTTGGAAACCTCCCAAGGAGGGCTACTTATCCTACGAGGAGTACGAGCGGATTAACCAACTGGCCATCGATCAGCAGGAGATCTCACAGGCACAGGAATCACTTAAATTTCGGGCCAACGCCGATGAGGAAGTGGCGCGAGTGAATCGGGAAAAGATGAAGGCATTCCGTAAACCCGAAAATCCCAAGGAGAAAAAGCAAAAGGAGGAGAAGCGTAATGCTTTCAAAACGGAGGAGGAGGCGGCCACCAAAGAGATTGGCCAGTGGCAAACCGTGGTAGTCAAGTATGGATTGAGCATTAAGAAATCTACCTTTGTGTTACTTTATTGATATATTTTTTTGTAGGGCACCTGAGGAGCCCATCGACTGGCAGTTGCCCCAAACGGATTACTACAGTCCGTCCGCCCCCGTGATTTCGGCTACCAGTGAACCCGAACCTCCAGCCAAGCGCTTCAAGGAGAAGACCATAGGCGGCTTGGATCCCGAGACAGCCGCCAGTGCACCTGCCACGTTCAAAAGAAAGTTCATCAGGAAGGGCAATAGCCGTCAACGCACGGAGGATTAGGCTCTTTATTTAGTTAATAATCAGTAGATAATAAACTATTAAGACGTACTTTGCATGCTCAAATTCTTTTAATTTGATTAACTACTTTACTAAAGAAATTGTATATTTCTTTTAGAAGAATAACATTTATGGATATCTTAAAAAACCAAACATAATTTTATTGAAAGAAAAAAGGCGCTGATGCGGCATGGTGGGTGACTCGGCTGTTGCATAAAAATGCCGCAGTGTGAATAGGCTTTTAGGCAATCACTTGATGGTTTTTGCAGTATTTTTTTTGAAAAAGTATGTGGTATATTTCAGCTGGCCGCGTACGGTCACTCTGCTGTTTTAGTTGCAGGCGAGTGGATTTGCGTCGGAATTTCGGAGAATCGCGCTTCTTGCTCGCTGTTTTGAGTGCGTCTGTGCCTTGTCTGTGTTGTTTTGTTTGGTTTTTCGCTGTACGTTTTCCATTCGTTGTTAAATCCGCGTTGCAAACAAACAAGAAGAGAAGAACAGCAAAAGTGGCGAGTGCAATCACAGCGTCGAAATTTCAATTGAAATCCGTGTGGCAATTGCAGCGGCATTCTGTGTAAATAAATTGAATTAAAGCAAACTTTTGCAGGCTGCTCCCTGAGAAATAGTTTGCAAATCGAAAGAAGTAAACAAAACAGGAGCCATCGGAAATAGTTGTTTTCGATCAATCACAGCACACACACACACCTGTGATTCTCATTGTCGTGTGTTGTGGTGTGTGTGAGTGTGAGCGAAGGAGAGGAAAGGTCAAGCTGAAAATTGCGTAAAGTGGAAGGGGGACGAAAAAGAGAGAGAAAACGAAGAGTTACGTCAATTACGAATAAACGATAAACAATATCCGATAACCCGAAACCGCTTCCGATTCGTCATAACGATCGTGCAAAGGAGAATAAAGAAAAGTTGAAGCGAAACTTGAAATAAATAATAAAGAAAGCGGAGATTTACGTCAAAAACAAACAAAATCGATATTCGATAACCCCTTTAAACCGATTTCGATACCTGAAAAATCAGGAAAATCAGGCAAGATTCAGTTCGTTTACGTTTACAACGGTACCGCGCCCCACGCCGCCTCCTCCTACCGCACCGCCGTCGCCCCCTTTGCGCCCTACGCGGCCGAGCGGACCACCCATCACCCACTCCCACCCCCTGACCTTCAGGAGCAGCTGCCCTCCGATACCGAGCAGCTAGCCGGAACGGATCAGGATCAAGAGGAAGAGGAGGAATCCGAGGAGGAGCGCGCAGGTAGCGGACCCTCGATCAAACCGCTCATCGGAACAGCAACAACAACACCGGAAGCGTTACAAAAGGCTGCGGCGTCGGCGTCAAAGGGAGCAAAAGAGACGGAAACCATGGCGGTGGTGCGCAAGAAACAGGACGATAAATACCTGCTCGCCCTGCGGGAATTGGTGGCCAGCGGTTCGGGTGGCAATCGCCAGTGCTTCGATTGCGGACAGAAGGGACCAACCTACGTGAACATGACCATCGGCTCCTTTGTCTGCACCCGCTGCTCCGGAGTCCTGTAAGTATCTATGACCTATGACCCTAGGACACAAAGCAATTCCAGGAATTTGCAATTTTCCGTATTAGTCGCCTTGTAGGGTGGTCTATATTTTTAAGACTACTCTATGTCAATGAAAACTAAACATCACACTGGTTTTTGTTTGATTCTTTTCATTTCTGACATTTACTTCTGAGATTCATTTTAGAGATTCATTTTTGAGATTTGTTTTGGAGATTCTTATAATAATAATAATAATAATATCCAATTAAGTTCGGAGACTCACTTCTTTTGAGTGAATAGTGCTTTGAATAGTGCTGTTACTTAAAGTATTTTATATTTGCATTCAGATTACAAATATTTCCTATTTCAAAAACTATAAAAATATTAGTTTCCAATCGCGCTCTAGAGCTCGATTTATTTTAAAATTATATTTGATCAACTAAAAGTGGTTAAATTTGTGTGTTTCTTCCACTTAGTCACGCTTCGTTGGATCGGTAAACATATACACTGATACTCTTATCAAAAATAAAGTATCCGAAATGATGTTTGCCAAATGGTCTACCCCGGGGGGATTCACTTTATGTTTATCAAAATAAAGCATGAATTGAGTCTGAAAATAGGACTAAAAATTTATAAATATGAACATCTCTTTCGATCGCTGGAGCTTTCTTGGTCTGGCCTCTTATCTTTACTTGAACCCAGCCAATTTGAACTCTGTTGACGTCCAATTTTCGATCAACTGGCGAGTGGAGTGACCGATAATTTCCGTTCGATGCAATGTCCGATCCCGTCTCCCCATTATTATTTTGTATTTTGTATTTTGTGTGAAAGCGAAAGCAATTCCCCCGAACAATTTCGCACAATTTGGTTTCCTTTCCTTTTCGAAATGCAAATCGAAGACGAGAAACTTTCAATTGCGCGACATCGAGGCAAACGAAATTGTTTTGTCTTTGCGGGCGGCGCTTTCTATTCGTGTTTTCTGTGTTTTTTTTTTGTGACAGTTTGGAGGGCCGCCCACCTGGCGGTTGAGTTGTGGGTGTCCTTGGCGCCCTCAAAAACTTTTTACCCCCCTCGAGTAATTTGCCAAATTGGCTTCTGTGATTTGTGCGCGCGCTATAACCAAATTGGGGTCATATATTACTACTGCATTTGATTTGATTTACGCATTTCCGGATCAAGCACATTACATGATTGCTCTTAAACTTCCGCCTGGCCCAGGTCCAAAACCCCAGTATCCCACGACAAGCTGTGCGCCCCAGATTGTGGACCTGTGAACTGAACTCCTCAATTGGACTGCATGCGGGCTCCTACTCATTGAGTTTATCTCTATCATCAAAACCTGGTTGCAAAGTGGCCAACTGCGTTGCAATTCTCTCTTCTGCAGTCGGCTGTCTGCATTTTGCCCCCAACTCCTTTGCCTTCGATGACTCATTGCCCAGTCCTCAGTCCTCAATCCTTAAGTCTCGTTGCCAACTGCCAAGGGAAACAAATGTTGGCATGTAAATGAAAAGCCGCATAAATGCCGGGCACACAAAACGGTTGCACTGGGAGAAACAAATAAAATGCTTTCAATAACATAGACAAATTGTTTCTTATAAAAACACAATAAATAAATACAAATTTATTATTAGAACCATGTTAAAAATAGTTATAGTTATTGTTTTTAAATAAAAGGTCTTTAGAACTCTAAACTAACAAACAGGAAACTAATACTAATTTGGTGAAAAATCATTTATTTCTTTATTTAGCCAACGGTAAACATACATTAACTGGCTAAATATATAGTTTTATGCACGCTGTTTACGAACTACTTGACTGAATCAACCTATGATTAAGCTCAGTTTTACTAAATAAATAATTTAAATGGTTAACCATAGTTTCAAAGTGTTTTCCCAGTGTAGCCGAAGGGGTGTGTAAAGGTACTGCACCATAATAGGGGACACAAAGGAGGAAGGGGGCGTGGCAGGGGAGACAACAGGCGACAACGAACTTCCTGGCTGAAAATGCGACTAGCGACTTGCGACTGCGACAGGGGAATGCAGAGGCGAGTGCAGGGAATACCAAATGAAACCGACTCCAAGAAGAAATTGCTGTTCATGTTGAGACCAGACCGACCGCCTTTGGATATTGGAATCCGCCGCAGACCGGCCGGCCACTTCTCCAAGTCGCTTAATGGAGGAAGCGGTTCAGGAATGAGGGAGCGGGAACGGGAATGGAATCGGGGAATGAGAATGGGACTTGGGAGTGGGTTTTCAGAATGGGAATGGCCGGAGGAGCGGGGAAAACCAGTCCGACAGCTTTTGCCAGGCCATGCTCGAATGTATTTTTGGGCTGAAGTTGTGCTGCCTGAAGTTTTGCCTCCAATTGCAGACAAATTGTTGCACCTCAATCAAGCAGAAGTTGCCGCCATCTGCTACACCGTCGTTTCAGTCGTTTTGGACTTGGCTTTGGCAGCCGAGTTCAAAGCTTACTGGCTGGCTCATAAAAGTCAAGAAACTTGTTGATTAGATAAGGCGAAAGCAAACGAACATTGGGAGCAGAGCAGCAATGGTGAGCCACTTTCTCAGGCATCGTCATCATTCCCACCGCACACCAAGCACTAACTACACACAGCAATGGTCATTTAAATATGAGGTTGCCAGTTCAAAACCACATTCGCATTATTCAATTATTAAGTAACTGAGTGATGTGAGTGAGGGATTTGCCCTCAAAGTTGATTACTCTATTCGGTGCAACAGATGTTCATTATATATATTTGTTCTGTAACGTTTTACTGACTTTTATATACGGAAATAAAATCCAACAACTAATAAGATGTTTCCTTTGTAATTTATTGATTTTTTTTACTAAATAAGCTAAAGTCATACTTTTATATTTTGTAAAGACTTTTATCTATTTAAAGTCATAAAATGTTGTTTCCTGTTTGGTCTACAGTCCTTTATTCTAAAGCTTCTAGATATGATATTCTTTATCTTTAGCTTGTTTAATTTTCAAAACAAGTCTGTTTACTTCCTTCACGGCCATAAAATTTATATGATGTGTGATTTCCTTAGGCATTTAAATACTTTCTTTGACTCAAGGCCTAAGTGATTCATTTCAACAATAAACAAGTGTGAAAAGCATTTCATAACAATTAAAATTTCTTATATCAGAACATAATTATTATTTACCAATTATTCAAATTTTCTTAAAGTAATGCACTCTTTGGAGCAATAACTAAACTAAGTTTATGTTTGAGCTATTTCTGTGTACCTGGCTGTAAGTTTGCAATGGTTCGTGTGGTTGTTCGTTTTTATGTGGCGTTGAGCACATCTCCATAGCTATAGTCATGCTATAGTACACAAAAATAAATAAAAAACATTGTTTGATAAACAATTAAGTGATAAATTAGGTTGTTCTGATATATTGATATTACTGTGATACTCTGTCAAACTATCAAAGTAATATGATTAAAAGAATTTTTTGTTCTGCCAAGAGAACTTTGATTTTCCATTTAATTGCCCACTTCCTTAAATAATATATAACAATAATGAAT